ATCAACAAAGGCAGTTTCTTTAGTCCTTTACTGCCGTCTTGCAATATAAAGACCTTAAATATGTGCAGAATTAGCGAAACCAAGTTGCAATAGAACAAAGTCAATGCAAAAATGATCATAACAATCGATCCGCCTACAACCATTTAACATTAACTATGAACTGGGCTGTCTTGAATTCAAGACATTGTTAGAGCCGACGCTTTTGCGAGGGTGTCATCCCTTGTAGATTCTATTTGCGGTTTCCGTAACCATTAGCTACACAAATTTACCCACAGCACCTGAAATATGCTGCATTCTGTGAGAATTGCAACGTCAAGACAACGCTTCATGAACAATTCACAAAGAGCAGTGCATTTGTTTTCATCGTGATCTGCTTGACATTTTTGATTCAGACGTTTTTCTTAATTTGTTGTTGTTTTTTAAGCCTAGCGAACACTGGCGATTTTTCGTCGCCATGAATTGCAATCTTGTTTTTTTTGCAAAAACAAACATTGATCCGAAGGAAAATGAACGAGAGATTTTGCTGTATGCGACGGAACATAATTCAGCAATTCAATCGAAAAAAATTCCAACGCAAGGGAATAAAAAATTTCGATTTTTGGAAACTTTCTTCCATCTTTTACCAGCCTCTTTCAGACAGAGCCAGAGTACCGTTGGCCTGTTCCATGACACTCTTGACACTTCTTTGTAGCAACATCTACTCGCATCTACAATCCCAGCTAATGCAACAAGCCCTTACACCCAAAGTAAAAAGCAAGAAAATTCTGTTCACAAAGACTCATGACTTTAGGCACCATAAGAGTTGTGGCAATTGCACCAAAAGCCAACTTACAGCCTGTCAACAATGACAACTCAAAGCGAGTAAGATTGTTTTGTGAGAGCCCTGAATATCCACTTGATCCTTAAAGTGCAGTATTCTTCAATTTTCTGCTGTAAGCTTTTGAAAACTGCCCTTTAAGTCAAATAGGGATTACATAGATTAACATTAAATACGAGGAATAGGGAAAAAATAGGAACCCTCTATCTTAAATATGTTTTAGCAATGTATATGAAAATATTGAATTATGTTTACAACTAAAGACCATTAGACTGTCAAGGTTTACGACGAGTGTGTGATTCTTGGTTACTTGTCCAAGGAAAATCGGCAACTTAAACGTTTTGACGTCATAGTCTTGTTAGCTGTTGCTACTCAGTTGTTTCTGTGTTCAAATGAGTAATATAGAATCTTTAGACACAACTTTCTATTCCTTTGCATCCTTATTTTGTTACTTGCCTTAAATTTGACAAGTCTTACTCGAAAATTTCTTAATTTTGCACCTTTCTTTAATTGGCAGCGACGTGAGAGACAGAATTGGTTGTAATATTAATAGCATTTGTAAATTTGTTTGCTCGACACTGATTACATAAATAGCCAACTTAAGGTTTCTGGTCACCTGTAAATTGATCTTGATACTAGGTGACTGTTTTTAGAACTGCATCTCACTGCTAGACATCAAGAAGCATGCTTAGATTGCGGATGAGTTGCTTCTCTTAAGGTTTAGCCAAAAATTTAACTGTAATTGGCGACCAACCTGGAATCCCAGGCCTATATCAAATGCATGTCTCGCCGAAAACCCCAGGTGTATCTATAGTTTCTCAAAACTTTCGTCTATTTCTCAGGCTGAAAATCCTATTGGGTTTGGTTGGCTTCATAACACTTAAGCCAAATATTTTCTTTAAAATGAGCCTTATTCATATTTTTCATCGTGAAATTTCATTGATTATGAGAAGTTATTCAATACATACCCAAATGCTCCTTAATAGGCTTTGCCAAATTTTGTCCTGTTTTGATGCAATCAACTCTGCTAGGCTAACTTTGCTTTTCATTTTGCTTCTAGGATACGAAACAGATAGCAAAGGTGCTCGACTTCGACTTGAAGACTCATTGTTATTGAAACGCCTCCGGGATCTGGAGCGGTACGTGAATGCAAGAACACGACTTCAATGATAAAACGTGGTTTCAAGGGAATTGACTCTTTTTTCTCCTGCTGTGTGGGAGCTTTGGAGATGAAATTTTATTGACTAAAGTTTGTGATGTCTAAGCGGTTCACTTTTAATTTCAAGCTTATGATTTGTAAAATGAAATGAAAAATTACGCTCTTAAAAGCTTTTTGCCTCTGCTGAACTTCCAAAATAAAATAAAGTTGTATTGTTTGTCTAAGATGATTAGTTCCAATGTTTTTAATACAGTATGCTGTCATCTGCAGAAGTGGTTTGATTTGTTCTTAACCAAGAGCCGTACGGAATAACGAATTAAACGCTGCGAACAGGTTAGTAACGAAAGAAGCAGTGGGGGCTTAGTTAATTCCCTAAAACAATTTCCAAATGTATATAAAACCAAACAAAAAATCGTCTTGCTCTTAGTGTTCAGGATGTTTGCCCCCCTCAATCCGTAATATGCTCCTCGGTCCTTGAAACAGTCGCTGTAAAAGAATTTTTAGAAGAAGTTTATAATGTACTTTATAGGAGTAAATGCGACGGAACATGGTGATCATGCTAATTTTCAAAGAAAAAAGGCACTTAACACTTTCAACCTCAATAAAAAAAACTACAACTGCATCCGTATAAAGACCCCATATTTTTAATTGTCTTAATTCATTGCATTGACTTTACAAAGTAATATCTGCAGTACATTATGGAGGCCTAGCATAGAAAAAGCTGAGAAAAACCACTAAAAATCTGTCGGAAATTGTCTGAGAATTCGCAAATAAAAGATCTGAGTTTGTTAATGGATTTCTTTTGGTTTTGCCTGGCCCTTAGACCTCGGAGTCAAGACCAAGATAATTGTAAAAATAGGGAAAGGGTTTATGGAAATAGGGTCATAAGTCAGGAGCTATGTTTTTGCACATGAAGGGGTACCGAATACTTTCTAATTCAGGATATGCAGCTCAAATTCAAAACTTCTAAAAATAGATTTGGCACCGTCATCACTTTTGAATGTTTTTATGTGCCAAAGAAGGGGCTCACGCTACATCTGCATTCCTATGTAGATAACAACGATGAATTATACGACAAAATGCATTATAATGGACAACAAATTCAATCTCGGACTCTAAATGCAAATCTCGGACAACAAATTTAAATCTCGGACAACAAATTTAGATCTCAGACTCTAAATACAAATCTCGAGCAACAAATTTAAATCTCGGACAAAAAATTTAGATCTCGGACACTAAATACAAATCTCGAGCAACAAATTTAAATCTCGGACAACAAATTTAGATCTCGGACACTAAATACAAATCTCGAGCAACAAATTTAAATTTCGGACAACAAATTTAGATCTCGGACACTAAATACAAATCTCGACCAACAAATTTAAATCTCGGACAACAAATTTAGATCTCGGACACTAAATACAAATCTCGAGCAACAAATTTAAATCTCGAACAACAAATTCGAATCCCGGACACGAAATACAATACCTCAGACATCAGACATGAAGCTCAACCTGTACAAATTTTTTCTCAATAACCTTTTGTCCACTACGGCGTGCCATGAATAGACACAAAGCAGTCCCAAAAAATGCAATTTGAATTCTTTCTAAACACGAAACTCTCATTTCCAATAGGCTTGATGAGTAGTCTCGTTTGTTTATAGTATTCCATACGATATTTTTTATTCTTTTGCTATTCTTTTTGCCACTTTTCACCTTTCTGCCACCTCTTTTCCATTCTTTGTCAAAAATAACTGGAACGCCTTCCAATTGCAGCATGCAAATAAACAAAGCAAGTCTAAAGCTACCTCACCAAAATATCACTGCCGCTTCAAAAATTTCGACCCCCTCCCCCCGTACAATGTTGATTTATCTTCTCAATACTTTCATACAGCTTTCAGTGAAGAAATTTTTACCTTCAGGATCAAAACAGCCTAATTGAATAACATTGTAATGGGGGGTAGGGGAGATGTTTCAAAAAAAGCTTCAGCTTTGCGCAAGTGTTCCAACAATTTTGGCAAGGATTGTAGTCTTCGGTGCTGTTCGTATGCTTTCTTTGAAACTATGGTGCTTCCTATGGCTAAAATGTTGCTATATTTACTTGCTTCATATATTAAGTCGCCTTTATTTGCTATTATTCAAGCTTTATTCAGCAACCTACAACACATGATACAACACTGTAGCGCTTCTTGATTTCTACTGTGTGTTTGTTTACAAGTTTCTAATTAATCTTAGCTTCTTTGATATCTCGGCAAGATATATTTTCAAATTCATCTTTTTCGCTAAGCTCCTACATAACGTATACGGACGTTCTTAAATACAGTTTTGACGTCTGCAATAGAACTACATCAGTCCATATCTCAAGTCATTTCATGTCCATTGAATACCCATTACCCTTCATCAGCTGCTCTCAACAATAGCTTCTCGCCATAAAATTTTCTGCATATATGTTAAAAGAGTTGATGAAAGCATGCACCCCTGCAGACAAGAATGCGTGTATGTTGAAAAAGTTGCTCTGCTGGTCTTGATGCAAAAGTTTTCACCTCATTCGTTGAAAACACAGGCCTTTCATAAGGATCATAAATTTATATCTAATAAGGCTCCAATATGAAGGTTTAGATCTGTCTTTAGCCAACGACCCTAAAATTATCACAATTCTTTCGATTCTAATTGCTAATTAAGAAAATTCAATCACAGCAGATCACAGCAGAAATTTCAAAACTACTGGGTCTTGGAAAATTTCCTTTTTGAGTCATACTATTTGGCGAGCATAGCTTAGTTAAATTTCCAATTCTTTCCTCGGATCTTTAAAGGTATTCTTTAATTCAATTAAGCAAGTCATCAACCCGTACTTGCTCTCTACCAGCAGAGTTTCAAATCTACTTTAAATCCATTCTTCTACTTCTACAGCTCTAAAAAGTCAAGCAAGGGCCTAAACTATTTCATCGAAAGCATAAAAACCAAGAAATTTGGTTTTCATTTTAGATTTTTTTGAGGAATATAATTCAAAAAGAACAACAAGCAATAGGTTTAAATTCTTTTCTTGTACATTGGTAGGTTACTATTCCGAAGAATGTGCAGCAATAAAATATAAACGTGTCCAAAACAGACGTTGGCATTAAAATAAAATTCGAAAACATATACATAATGATAAACGAATACGTCATTTTGCAAAAAATACTTCCTCTTTTATAACTTTCAAAGGGGCATCATGGCTGATCTAATGGTCTGGTTGAGATCTTCACGTCCTAAACAGTTCTTCATTCGGAAACTGGTCGAGAAAACTTGGGAGCCTTGCTACCCCTTAAAAGTAAATGCCCCTTTCATTTGCAAAACTAACAAGCAACAGAACATAATTACAGTTATCTGTAGACGTAACAAGGAAAAATCCTGATGAAAATTCACATCTAGTTATAAGAATATGGAATACATATAAGAAAGTTGAAATTTTTCAAGTATAAATCTCTGGTTTGTACAGTGAATAAGCGTGAAATCAAAATTTATCATTGTTGCTCTGACTTTTCTTCCTGAGATCGAGAGATTTTAGCTTTAAACTGTTGCTGAAATTAAATGGTTTTTACCGCAAACATTTCAAAGGTACTGCAAACACCTGGGAATCCCAAATTTTCCGGCTAGCTTGTTGGTGGGCAAAACTACTTATGTTGGTTGGATCCAATTATCTAAAAAAAGCCTCGAAGCTCTATATCTATACCTATGTTGAATGATTCAGTCAGGGACCGCGGAATTTGGAAGGGGGTCTACGGGGGCTCTAGCCCACCAAAATGTTCCTAAATATACTTAAAGCCATACAAAAATTCACCCTACTCTTGGTTTTTAGCATATTTAGCTCCCCCTTCGAAAAGTTTTCGCCCCCTCAGTCTGTAACATACTCTGCGTTCTTTGGATTCAGTGGCAGTGTGTTACAGGTGGCGAGGTAAAACGAAAGTCAATACATTTAAAGGCATCAGCTTTTCAAAGCCACGCTCACTGAGTTGGTCCTTGATGTCTTCTCATTCTCCCGTCCATATCAAACTTTCAGATACCACATGATAATACTGATCAACATTATGTTCTCATACCATGCAGGTTTACTAGAGCAGCATTTAATATTAAAAAGTGGTCTCGATGACGTCATCACACCCTGGAAAACGAAGCATATCCAAACGAACTGTAAGAAGGTACATAGAAACCAGGACTTTTATTCGATCCTTTTGGAGGTGCTGTAAAGTAGAATATATTGTTCATAAGCCCAGTGATTGTATAGCTATCTTTGCAATATCTCCTATCTCCAGGAGGTACCGATTTCAACGTCCAAGGGCTGACATACGTAAGATCAGTGCTTAACCATTCCACTTGAAGATTCAACCTGCCATCAATTTCCCGAATAACGACATTTTTGGATATCATTGGCCAGTAACTTGCCAGCTTATATGTACCCTTATAAGCTTCCATATTCTGTGGTGCTTGGTACTGTAGAAAAAAATATGTAATGGATCAATGAAAAATTTACTAAATGTTCGATACGAATAAACTTTAGGCTGGAGCCACCTGAAATACCAACACACTTTTGTAAAAGTCACTTTCAAAGCCAAAAAACATTTTAAAGCTATTTGAAAAATGATCACCCCCCACGATTTGCTACTTGTGTAGAAATAAACTACTGCGAAAGGCCATTTAGCATTCCAGAAATCAAATAATTTATGTTCAAAATATATTTGATTCTTGATATACATGTACGATGGGAAGAGGGTCACAGAGGGAGTGCAAAACGAACATAATGGATATAAACAGGGGCACCGGAACACATTTAAGAGTGAGGGGCTATAGAAAAGTGGGGGGGGGGCTCCTAACATAGATTGCCACCATTATATTTGACGACAAAACCCTAATATTACACTTAAGCAAAAAGGGAGGAAAGGCTACAGCCCACCCAGCCCCCAGTACCGCCATCCCCAGCCCCCAGCCCCAGCCCCAGCCCCAGCCTCCCAGCTCCACCGTGCCTGATAAATGAAGTTCAAATAAACTGCTGAAATTAAAAGGACCAACAGTTGCTATTAAAGAAGTATTGAGGGACCATTGCCCCTTCATTTCTCGTAATTCTCATTTTTCCTTTGCCTCTTTATTTTATCTTGCTTTTCTCCAGAGAAAGTCAAAAGCCCCTCTTACAATATTTCAGCATGTTGCACGTCTATGACTTTAACCTTAAAGAGGCATGCATCTTAACTCGAATCATCAAATGATAATTATTGCAAGCAGTCACAATAAACATTTTGCGCGGCAAGCTCTTATTCTTGGATTTTGAATCTATAAAAATCAGTATTATATAACAGAATCCGGCGATGGTATATCAACAATTGTCAGCATTGTGCTTGCATTCCCGATGACAAATACAACACAATAAAAACAGATCGCATGTGATTCACACTAACCTTACTTTTTCTTCTTTGCAAAACCTGTGAGACCGTGGTGAGCACCTTTCCTCCAATAATCCCAGAGATTTTCATAGCGTCGCTGTACTCTCCTCCGTGAGCAAAAAGCGCATACACCGCTGGAATTTTATAGTATAAAGCAATCACTGCATTTTAAAGTTATTCTCCACTGTAAAAAACAGGGAACAATTTTGTTCTGGAAATTGGAAACCTTGCTTTGTTGATTACAGTGGTACCCTGAATATTCGCTAGGCCAGGCCACGTCCTTACAGCCCATGAAGATGATAAAATTAAACTTTAATTGACATGAGTAAACTTTGAAATTTTTAAGAAAGTAAATTAAGCTTACGATGGTTATTAGCTGTTTAAGATTTTTGAAATATGGTTTTTTTTAAATATAATTGTTGAAATTTTGAAGATCACGGGACTTTTTTATGGCAGCGTTCGGATAAGTATTGTGTATAAGTATTGTGACTTCATCAAAAATCTATTTTTGGAATTTTTCATTATTGACCACATAATCTGAAAGAACATCATAAAATAGCTCTCAATACACAAATTAAGTTAAATGTTCTCTAAATAGGGTGTGATATAGCCAATGAAGAGTTTAAGGTTAGCCAATGGTTTACTGTTATTTTGGGATGGTTCGTAAAGTTGCGGGGAAAGAGCCTATGCTAATGAAGCCATATCTCAGCCAATTTGTAACACATTCGACTGATTTTGCACATTAAGAGGTAGTTTATAATGCTTTTTGGATTATATGGGAAAAAACTGAAGAATTCTTGAAATAGATTTTTGTGGCATCATCACCTCGGTACACAATTGGAACGAAATGAAGTGGTGAATGTACTAGAAAGCTTGTTTGTTCATACTATACAGGATAGGACCAACAATAAACGTTCATAAACAAAAACAATGAAAAATCTCAACATACTTTGAGAGAAGGGAGTTTTCAAGGGAAGGAGAGAAGGGGGATGAGCAAGTCCTTTAAAAAACTGTCTGTACATATGGTTAATACCTTTAATGGAACATGTTTATTGACCCGCACTCTAGTGAATGCATGCAAGAACATTTCCACCTCCTAAAACAATTTTTCTCCAAGATGGAAGAAACAGGTAAGTATAACAAATGAAAAGTTTCATTACCAACAGTATTCTCAGGAGAAACATGAATATCTGCAAAGTATCCTACAGTCAGTCCGTTAAACTTGAAGAATTTTTGATATTTCGTCTCTTTTTCTGTAACTTCTATTTTGTACTTCGCAAGTGCAAAGGGACAGCCAAGATCGCTTTCGTAATCTAAAAAACAATTAAGGCATGTCTTAAAATATGTTCTAAATCAAAACCAAGGTATGCATATATACGTAATGGTATGGTGGCTTTTATTATCATACAATTATACCTTCGATGAATGAGGACATCCATATAAGCAGATCGAAAGTGAATTTGGTTTTGTTGTGAAGTTATAAACTAAATTCGACTAGGCCCAAATGCTGCCTAGAACTGATTGGCTTGCCATGGCTATTTCCATTCACGGATTGCACTTTCAATTTTTCTTATTGGAAGTGAATTCCACCAGCAAGATAACCACTAAAGTTTTTCTTCATTTCTCCAAAGCCTAAAGCCTATGTTTGAATCATGACCCAAGATACCCTACCATGCCTTCCAAATGAATTTCGAGTTACACAAAGCTGTGAAATCTGTAATTTTAAAAAATTGTGGGATTGTTTTATCAGTTGCCAATTTGTAAGTTTTAGTTATTCTGACAGTTCTCATTAAAATCAATAGTGTCTACAAGCCACGGTGGATTGAAAAATAATTTTCCTTGGTATAATGTTATAATTAATAAAGTACATATTTCGCATAAATTATAATAGGTTACGCTTTTTGTATCATGAGGAGAATCTTGTTAGGTTATATTGATCTTCTAAATTTATGAAAAGACATTAAACTCTGGTTCTCATTTAGCTTAGTGTTTTATTACTGTTCTCTCTGGTGTATTTGATTACCAGGCACGGATCATCAATTTTGAAGGACTGTAGTGAAATTGTTTTGGGTGTGGTTTCAGTCTTGTGGTAATTTTCAACGGTTGCCGAATGTAGAAGATTAGCATGCAGGGAATGTTTTTCGCCATTCCTCGAGACAATCTCACTTTTCCTACGTGACATCGAAAAACTCCTGTTTAGAATTTAAGAACTTCTTTCTGTCGGCATGCTGATTGAAAATAAACTATCGGTACTTTCTTTGCCTCTCAGCTGAAATGAATAGCAGGAGCACTAAAAGCTCATGATCAAAATGTTTTTCTCATTTTTTATTAAATACACATGCTGCGCAATGCTCACTTTTTGTTTTGAAAACAATTCGGACCAGGAGACACGTCACAACAACTATATAATTTGCCTTTTATTGAATTTTTCACTTAAAAACAACTATTTATAACGGAAATAAACATATTTTTACAAATTGAACTTTTACATCTTTCCAGCAGACCACTTAACATTGTATTGCCCACCTTAATAACTGACTGGGTGCTTTTGATTCAAGTACAGCACTTCTACGGACTAAACGACAAAATCTAGTGATGAGGAAAAGCGGATATTACTGCAATGACATAACACAAAAAATAAAACGTACTGTGCGTAAACAGGCGTCGTTTCGAAGACTTGTTTATGAATGTTGTGTTTAAACCCTCCAATAAGATGCTGGTTAACTTGAAAAATAAAAAACAATAGTTTTAATTTCATATGCATGCACAATCATAAATGAATGAACAAAAAATAAAGAAAAAATTAAGAAAACTCTAATTCAGCTTTTTTAGGATTGTCTAATAGAATTCTCAAGTCTGACGTCACAAACAAATATTTTTAGAATTTTCGAATTTCGACCGCATGACATAAAAGAACACCGTGAAATACTCCCATATATGCAAAACCGGTTAAATTTGTCAAAAATCGGGTTAGCTAGAGAAATTTCATGATGCTCTTTCAAGTTATGGGAACAAAGTTTAAAAATTCTAAAAATAGATTTTTGTGACGTCATCACTTGACAACTCTTAATCAACATTTTGGTTGAGATTTTAAAATATTACGCTATCATCTTAGTCAGCATTGCTAGCCATATTAGTTATAGTGACTTTAAAAAACCCCCTACTCTTTTTTTTTGGAAATATTTTGCATAAAGCCTTTTGAATAAAATCCTAGTTGATATGCTATGTTTCCAATTTCTTGCTATTATTCAACAAATTTTGTTAAACTACACAGAAGGAGGAGGGCGTTGTTAATGCCTTGAAGTGGACGTGTGATTGTGTGATATTGGAAGATTTCATGCTTAGGAGTGTGCACATTCTAAAATTGCTTGTATTTTGAATTCATTGCTTGTATTATTTATGACTGTTGAGTGAATCCTACTAAGCTGTCCTGCATATTTTATTGCATTGGTTACAAAGTAACCATTTCATTGTACGTCAAATTCTTTGTTGTGAAGTGCTTAAGTGATATACTTTCTAATGAATAATTTTTACTTCTTGAATACTTCCAAAGATATATTTTAATCTACATAATGGAACAGTTACTTGGATATGTAATTTTACCTTGTTCAAACTATCAAGTGACATGTATAGTCCACCAGCCGGTCGCAGCCAACCCCAATCGATGATTCTTGAAATTTTACCGTCTTTTCCAGACGAAACAGGAATTTCGTTGAACCTGTGTTTGAATTTAAATGCAATGAAAGCCATGTGTCAGTTAAAATCACTGCCAAAATTACTTGGAACATCCAACACTTTGCGCTGTGCTTTTCTATTTTTCATTTGCTTTCCCGAATACTACTTCTTCCGTCCCCCTCTCCCCTCAGAATAATGTTGAAAATTAGAAAAATATCTTACAGATCACAAGAAAAAACGTACTCCATATCACCTTTCTTTCTTCTATAGAAAATCAACATTGGTGTTAGAAGGTGAGGGAGTGGCTGAATTTGCCTTCGAAAACTGATGTTGGTGTTCCAAGCCTTTTGGCAGTGATTGTAACATTGCTTAACATGCAAAGAAGCAAATAGCTATTCACAATAAGACCAGCATTTACATCTAGCCTTTAAACACTGGTCTTTGCATACTGATCTTTACACACTGGTCTTTTCATCTAGTTATGTGAAACAGCATGGAAGAAAAGAGGGCTATAGCCTAGCAAGCATTCAGGGAACGAGAGCAAACAATTAAATAGCTCACCAAATAAATAAAAGCTAAATTCCCTCTCAAACATCTAACAGAAATCTTTTACAAAATTATACATATCCAGAAAGTTATAAGTTTCTGATCCCTGTTCTAAAAACTTGCCAAGTTTCATAATCTAAGGGCTATCTCCTTGAGCGGGGCAAATACAATTATTTACACCTCAAAAAAGAGCTGTCTAGGCAGCTGCTCGCCCGGGGCGTCGTTAAGAGGCTCGCAAAGAACAAAGAGCTTGATCTAGTGGGAAATCTTTTTATTAATTCTGGATGAATCATAAAGCATATTGGTGTCATCTTCAAAGACTTTTAATCTACAAGAGAGTTGAGAATCGATTCCAGTAATGATTATTAAATTACGTGAGCAGCCAAAATGATCTTTCTTTCAACTACTAGAACGAGACCACTTCCCTTTTTTCAGCTAAAAGTCGACATATACAGTCAAAAATTGCACTTAAATGTTAATGTTATAAAGCTTCCATTCCACTTACTTATCTTTTATGTTAAATCCTGCATTCTTCAAATCAAGCTTGTCAAATATTTCTTTTTGCACCCACTCTTCATAGGTTGTTCCATTCAAAATTCTTTCCATAAGACGGCCCAGAATTGCATAGCCTAAGTTGCTGTAGAAAACAAGAAGTTGTATTTGAATTCCTAATTATGCTATAGAGCTTAGAATTTGAATCTGAATAACTGTGACATCATTTCGTGGTATAGCCCCAAAACCAGTACCACAATTTGCATTGCCTTGATCATATCTTTTAGTTACTACCATCAACCCTGCGTTCCAGTCAAGTAAGGGGTGTAGAGCACAGGCTAGTATTATATTGTCCAAGGTATCATAAGTGTGAAAAAAAGTTGTGGGGCTAAACGTCTTTGAGCTGTCTACCATTTCTCAAGCTCATTTTGCATTGAGAAAAGGACTTCTGTTTGACAATGTCTTCATCAAAGTCAATTCATATTAATTATCAGCTAATAGAACCTCACAAAAAGCTCTTCTTGATTTAAAAAACTAAAATTATTTTCTCTAAGTTCAAGTATCTTATCTTGTTAGTGAAAGTTTGGATTATGACACGATCTGACACAATAAACATGACCATCTAACGTCTTCCCTGAATTAATGTAAATTCATCGCTCATTAATTTTACTTTCCATAAACGCTGCATTTCGAACCCTCATAGTTTGATTAAACTCCAGATATTGGATAATGTAGCTACTTACAATTTGATAGACATTAAAACACGGGAACAAAAACATGCTCATAGTTATTGAAAATGGTCTCTCTTTAATTTGTCATTTGGTCTATTGATTTCATCGACAAACACAAGCTTTTTCTCACCTGTACACGGGTGTAAGGTTTGGTCTGAGCTCCAACGGCAAGTGTGAAATACGCTTCCACATCTCAGTTGTGTTATATGGACAAAAATTGTGAGACAACGGAGGATTACATGGAGCCTCACGGCGAAGACCACTGGCCATGCATTGAAGCTGCCTGAAAAAACATCCAATTGATGAATGGGATTAATTATTTTTAACTGTTTAAGTTATACAAACTTTGTTATTTCTTTTTCTCAGGATCTTGAGATCATTTTATAAGAATATAGTTTATAAGGATATTGAGGCTTAAAACTGCTTAAACTCAAGAATATATCGTTTCGTTGTTACCAATCGAGAAACGCTTAAAATGCCGCGAGTTATCATGAAACGGGTATATTTCAGAAGATGTAGGCTTTTACAACTAAATGAACTGTAAGGACAAAGTCACTTAATTTCCTAATTGAGAAAATGTTTTCGAGTATCCAAAATATGATAAGCGTAAAAAATAATAAAAACCGTAATGTCGCAGTATAAAGACAGTGAAATCTTCGTGCCAATGAAAAAGAGCTTGATGAGATATTTTTATAATCAAAATTATAAGAAAGGAATGTAATACATTACAAAAAGAAAGGAATTTATTCTTGCGCACAGAGAAAACAAATAAAAAGTTTGTTGCATTTTCAACCGGGGCCTGGGATCTAGATTTCTCTATTTCGCACCAATTTTAATGTGTCGTTATCAACTACAGGAAAATCAGATAAAAAGTCTTTAAAAAATGCCACCTTCGCCGAAATCAGGCAACACGTCTTTCATGATCGCGTTAAGCGTGAAACTCAGTGCTGCGAATTGGAAGCGTCCAGTTTTACAAATCAAAACGTCACAACACTATACGACACAGAGCACAATAGGCCAAATTTGTATATACACACATAAATACGTGTTATACCTGAATGTTATCTGCTCCTTGTTAAACGGATTTATCACATTGAATTGCGGATCGTACATTCTTACAGGGTCATCAATATTCTTTATGACACCTTTTTCTAGTAACTTCAGTAGCATAACAGCCTAAGGAATAAAACCATGGTCAAAATATAGACATTATCAAAATACATTTACAGGGCCGTCGATAAGAAGGGGTGGGGATGTGTGGCAACCCCGTAGAAAAAATTCCATTGTAAAAACGGGAGTTTGCTACCATCTAGGGGTGCTCCGTCGAACATTTTTAGATTTCTCGGCAAATAAAGGATGGTTACCAACTTTGTCAGCAAATGAGATTGAAGCCCCCTTGAGCACAATAGCTAGTGACGGCCCTTTTACGGCCCTGTACATTTATCAAAGTTGAAGCAGAATAAAAGCTTAAAGAGGAAAAAAATTTCACGAAAAGGGTAATTTTAAGGTGGTAATGTATCATCATAATATTGAAAGGAAAATTCGAAATCTTCAAGAAAATCAAACAAATTGTAACTTCTACTGCAGCTTAATGTTGCTGAAGGTAAAAGCAGTAAAATTCAAATACGTAAGCATAAACGAGGGTATGATTCAAGCAATCCAAAGTATCTATAAAACATGCATGAATGAACTGTGTCTAAGAATTAGGCGCCTTTTACTGCATTGTTGCATTCCTAAAAGTTGTGAAATTTTGATAAAATGGAAAAATTTAGTATAAGAGTTGTTGTCCGTTGAAGAGGTGTGTCCGCTATTTGGGTGAAGAAAAATAATTTAAGACAACACTGTCTGTTTTTTTAGAATATCCGTTACTTGTAATACAATTTTACATTGTGGTTCTTATATTGAATGCTTATGTGGTAATCAGTCTGGAGGTGTTTTTACTGAATCTACGGTGAAGTTTTCTCAAGCTCACGATACAAAGAGAATTCTTACTGTTACGATCTTTGAGATACTTGCGACAGGAAACGGAGTATTGCTATCGGGTGCAGGCGAATTGGGATTCGAGAAGTTTAATCGACCAAAATTGAATTTCCACCAAAATTTTCCCTTGTATGCAATTCCAAAAGATGCAGCCTGCAATAAGAAAAATTGCGTGAATTATCCAGCACTATATGTTTCAAAGTAAAATTTTCATAAAAAGCATCAATGAAATAATTTTTTTCTTCATCCATAACAGTCATCACTAATTTCTCTTTACCTTTATTCCAGACAGCTGGGCCCTTGTCGTGATGTCAGATTCCAGTGTGGGCAGCAACTCTTTGACTTCAGCAGGCATTTGATCTAAAACTGCGTCAGAAGGATACTCGTAGCAATTTCTTGCATCACTTTTCTGAAAAAATCAAGATCAAATTATAACATTCCTAAAGCTAACCTTGAAGCATCAAGCAAGAAGAAAAGACATGACATGAAACTCGGGAAAACGCGCTTTTTCTGGACATTTTTAAGTGCAGTTTTTAGGCAGAAATTTTTGTGTCGAATGTCTTTTGAAATTCTTCTACCTACAATGTTTCAAGGGAATGTGTGGTTGACTTGAATTAAATTAATTGAAGGAGAATGGTGCTTTTGGCATAAATAGCTTCCACTCTACCATGCTTAGAGAAAAAGCTTCAAGAGTAAAACTGAACGAGGTACAAAACAAAGAAACTATAGCATAAGGTTGCACGCGCTCTGTGTTATGAGTAACGGAAAATGCAGATAAATCTTGAAAGGAACCTCTTAAAAGAGGACCTGACCATATTCATCCATAAAATTACTCTAGAAGCACCTTAAGAAGTCTCCTTTCTATCACCATTGAGAAACTTTTACGTAAACGTGTTGTCTACAAAGAATCGCTTTTTAAAAAGTGCTCTGAAACATTTTGAAACATACTAGGTCAGAACTACGTCTGAAACATGAGTAGAAAAAATCAGAACATTCTTTCATGGCCTGATCATATACGCTGAAGAGTGTCAGACAAAAAGCTTTAATATGTTTCAAAATGTTTGCTCTTTTCAAAGTCATTTTTAAATTCTGTACCACAAAAATATCATTTTTTAACCAAGCCAATATATACTAGGTCTTCAAAGAGTACCTACCATGCCTGTGCCATTCAGCCGATTCACCTTTTCTTTATGATACTCCAATACGTATAGTGTGCCAAACGTTAGAATCCCAATAGAGAGCAGGCATATTATTGCCAATAGCATTCGTCTTGAGCAGTTTGTTATCATTGCCCTGAGTTTACCAGCTTTCGTAGTCTTTGAAGCCTCAACTAATTCTTGGGTGCTGGTAACACTGCTAACAGCTGACTCCATACGTACAAGCATTTTATTCCTTGTGTAAGTTGAATTGGATTCCTTCATCTCATCCTTCATGGCCTGATTATCAATTGACGCTGTAATGAGATTACCAAAGATTACATGATGCCTTCCAAGGGCCTGTTGACTAATTCACGATATCAACAGTGATTTTGTATGGAATATCTCGGTTTAAGATATAAATCTGATATTGCTTGGTCAGATTTGGATATTAAGTCAGAAATCTGTTCAAGTGGTAATATCAATCATTTTCAATAATTAGTCAAAAAGCATGCATTATCCTCCTTTGCTTGTCCTTTGATTTGTGCACCGCTCGCCATTGCTGGACAGACTTTTAAACATTTTATTAAAGTATGTCTGTTAAGAAACATTTTAATTTCACTTACTGCTATGATGTAACTTTCCCTTAGTATTGAAAGAAAAGTCAGTAGAGATCTGGTGGAATAAACAGGGTTCAAGGCAAAATCATAGGGGTGAGGGGGTGTATTCTTAAAATATTTTAATTTAAAACGTTTTAGTCCAGGTAAAAGACACATTTTAGAACATAGATGATTTGATATATTTCGCTGCAGATCAGCATATATGCTTTACACATTAAACAAAGGTTTTTGTCACTGCTTCATCCCCAGCTGAAATACAGCTGTAGCCTCTCTGTCAGTTGCTCGCCATTAGCTACTGGGTTGTAATAGCCAAATGAGCTAACAGCACGAGACAGTACGAATCAGGTTTATGAAACGTCGAGGCACTGACGTGTTAAGTAATAGCCCGTTAAATGTTCAGATGAAAACCAATTTTTCAATGTAAGGATTAGATGGTTTATGATTGGGAAGCAGATAGATAAACGCTTCTTGTGAGGATAAGAAAACTCCTTATCATTGTTTTGAAGGGTTCGTGGTAGATCTACTAAAAAAGAAAAGAAAAAATGCTTGCTTCGACTTTATGGCAAGGAGTTGTTAGAGAAAGATGCCAGTGAGTCTATTAATTCATAGATTTTAACCTGTTGGGGTATGAGTATTATTAGCTGCTATGTACAATGTGATCTGAAATGGCATAAGCATTGTTTTAATCTGCTTATCAATGGAATTTATAGTCAGTTTTGTGTCGGTTTATAGCATCTATATTGGAATCAACATCAACAGTTTGGGTGTGGCACTTTGCATGATTTAAGAGGATTGCTTTTAATGAAATGCTCTGCTTATCCTTGTAAGCATGGACGAAAGCTGTTTTTGATGTCAAACAATACACCACGCAATCTTTCTGTATTTGAATATTAAACACAAAATTTCATCATCATCATTTTTGGGTGTTGTGTTAGTGTCAGGTAAATGCGAAATGCCCTTACAAGTTACACACAAAGAATTAAGTATCTATTTGTTTGAAAACATTTTCAAAAGGACCTCTTAGTAATCGTCTGCTTAAGTTTGTCTGAAGTGATTTTTACTTGGGCAATTCAAGTTTCTAAACTTGGCGATCACAAACAAACATGACTCGTCGCTTAGGTGATGTGTATATTGCAAACCAAATGTTTGCTTCTGCCTCTATTTCTTCTTTCTTTCCCCATTCATGAAACAAACGGAGCATCTTTGTGTGCATTGGATAGCCAGGGGATTCTAAGGTACTCCATGTATACTCGTAGGACCGTTATCAATTCAACGCGCTTATTTCCCAAATGAGGTTTTTATTTCAAATGGTTTATTTCACAATAATTCACAATGGCAGAAGATATGATTTGTGTTTTGTGAACATTTTATGTATTTTTGCAGCATTTTGAAGCATCAATCCTTTTTCGGGGTTTTTTTGATACATCAGAGATAATAACCATATTTAAAGGTTTAACATTGAAGATTGTACTCATCACAGTTGGAAGAATACGGCAAAACATATTAATAACTATGTGTTTGACTAAATTGCTAATTTTTTTGCAGGCTTAAAGATTACAGGGACGAGCATAAACTGAAAAGAGATTGTTTATATTTGTTGTCGAAAATATATCAAGCCACAGCATATGCCCTTCATCCTCCTTTTCAAAAAGAATAGCAAGCAAGAAAAAATTGTTACGTTTTTGTACAAATATGCCTCGTTTCACCGATAAAATATCTTCATCTTCTCATGTCACTTTTGTAAAAAGTTGGCTTTTTTGCTCTTTTAAAGTCTCAAATAAATTCTGCTTTTCACATCTTTCATTCCGATGTTTTAACAAGTTAGCAATGTTCTGGTGTGATTATGAATTCTGGCTTCCGTCTTATGAGATCGTCTAAAACAATATAACACAATTTAACAGTCTCAGTAGATCATGCTCACGATCTAACGGTCAAAATTCTTCAAAAAATACAGAGCAACCTGTCAACATTAACATTATGAGCAAAATCTGTGGTTCTTCCACAAGTTTTGATGGTATCAACCATGAACCATGGTATACAAAGTCCCCTTAACTTTTCAATTCCCACCACTGGTTACATGTATTATAAAAGTCGAAACTTTTATCTACCCGTAAACCAGCTGTTGCGAAACATACAGTCTACACTTTTTACCTTCGTATGGAGACAACTGTAAATAGAAAACTTTTAAGGGTCTTTTGAAGAATTTCTTTTAAGTAAATAAAGAATCTCACGATGTGTCTTTACTCTCTAGCCCATTGTTCTTGCCAGCCCATAGGCCTACCGATTTGAAACTTTTCCGAATCATGAATGTGATGGTGAAAACCTTCAATCAAATCACGATATTTAAACCCAATCCTTAAACAGCCAGTGAAAAGATGAATGGATTGCAACCTCTGGCAACATCTTAAAGAACTTTTGCAAACGTCATTGTGCTAAAATCAATTGCTTTTTAGATCAGGTTAAATTCAGGACTACTAATACATGCAGTATTGTAAGGTAATTACTCAAACAATTTCCAAAGCATTAATCAGTGTGCAGCCAAAAATCTTTACCCATAAATTACTTCGCCTCTGCCCATCAGCAATCGCGACTAGGCTATCTAAATTTTTCATCTACACTGTTGTGCCAATTCATCTACTTTCTCCGTTTCCGCGTCGGAAAGGAGCTGACACTATCTAGAAATCGCTAATATATGTTTTTATGTCAAAATGATGTCTTGTGTCTGAGACTGTAAAGCTATGATGCCTAGCGTGTGTATTCTTATCGTAATAGAAAAGTCTAAACATTTTGCAGGTCTAAGCAGAATCAAAATGTATCAGATTGACAAGTATCGAAAATTGAGAAGAGCACAATACTCACCGTTTTGGAAATCTATTGTTGCCAGCATGGCACCCTTAAAAAGTGCGGTGTTTTGACCGTTCTCACAAGCTGCTTTTTTGTTATTAAACTGTATTTAGAATTAGTGTTATGGCATTGAAGTGCTCTCTTTAGGTCAATCCGAAATAGGAAGATCAATACAACAATAGTAAGTGAAAGCCATTGACATACACAGCAGAATCCCTTCCTAATCCAGCGCCTGTGTCATCGAGCCCTTATAGGACAAACAGAAAAAAGATAACCTGCACACGGGGGGTTCAAACCTGCCAGGAAAACTGATTTGGTTTCTGTCAATGAAGACAGTATTGTCACCAAAATTTATAACTTTGTTTCTAACCAATAAAAGGAGCAAAGAATGGTCCAGAAACACAGGAAGAGTTGCACAGCAGGAGAAGGGGACGAAGCGCAAGATAAAGGGCAAAACAATAGCAAAATAAAGAAAATTGCCTAGGTTTGTAAAGGCAAGGGACATCGTCCTCCCCCCTGTGCTTCCGTGCTTAGCGTCACCTCCAACAAATTCTTCATAACTTTGGGGCCTCAAGGGCCCTTAATGACAATTAATGAACTTTTCTGTTGATAGATTATCAGTTTTCGTATCTTTCTTCATTTCATATTTAGTCGTTAGAAGCAAGACTAGCATGCTAGGATTTTTTCAGGAGGCGCCGGTCAGAAATATGTTTCGCGCGTTGCATTTGGTCGCGCGACCATCACTCTATTGTGACCGCAACTTGCTGTCCGCAAGATTGATTTCTACTCTCGAGATTTGGCCGTACGATCCCTTAGCCCATAGATCTGAAGTCTTGAAAAATGATTGATACATAGTTACGAAAAATATATTCAAAATATAAAAAGAGCAGCATCAGTTTGCAAGGGAAATTAAACTTTTCGAAGAACATTCCTTGTTGATTTCTGGAACTCTTGACTTTGGTTGCCCTTGCTCCTGAAGTAACGAAGTATTCCTAAGCAAGACCCCCAACCCACGGGCTCGCACAAAAACGGAAGTCGGGTACATGAGGTTTAGTACGGTCCTAACTATTAAAGCAAGTAACAATTTTCAATGCACCCCCGGAAAATGGCTCAACAACAGTCTCAAAAATAGCATTCCTACACTTTAACATTTGCACTAATAAAAACAGATAAGCGAAGTTTCTTGATTGGCGTAGCCGCTATTAACATATTACCTTGCAAGCAGTAATTACCGTTAACTTGTTTATCGTAAAAATGGCCTATACGCATTTATAGATTTATAATAGGTTAAAACAGCTCGAATGCTATGTGCCTATCCCCAGATCATCCTGACAAAAAACACCCATTTTATGTCAGAATTCAAGATGAAATTTAGTACTGTAAATCCTGCGGCAAACGCCTGCAGTCATTTTTCTTGAGTGTTTCTTAATGTTGGTGTTATCAATTTCGACAGATTGTTTCCTAAATTTTTCATGCTGAGAATAGTCTCTTTCTCATGTGAGAAAATATTATGGATGATGAGACATTCATCACAAATTATGAAATGTCCGAATTCTACCATTTGCTCAAATTTATTTGTTTCCTCATACTTTCCTTTGACCTTTGAGGTTTCTGGTTGTCCAGTACTCCTTTCTTATAGCAATCTTCTTATTAAAATACTGGTATCTCTAGCTTTTACATTGAGGAGGAGTGCCACAAGAACATAAAACACGGAGTACCACAAGAATTACAACTATCACCTTTCTTTTTGGTTCATAGTTCTGTTTCGCTTCAATGTCTTAAATTTTAAACGATCCTTTCCTAGCATGATTCATACGTACTTGAAATGGAATGGCCCATGCTGATTATTTTTCATGCATCGCAATGAGTTGGTTTTTGATGCATTCTTCATTTAGTTCAAGAAAACTGCTTACGATATTAAAGCAGGTTTAAGTAACATTGAAAAGCAAAATTTGTAAGTTGATGCTAGTACCTCTTATGAAGTATCCGATTGATCAGTTTTCGAAGCATCCATAAAGTCCTTTATAGAACAGTAGGTTTCCTCGGGGGGTAATCTATGGAAATCTTGTACACCTTTGTTGGAGGTCCTATTGTTTTATCAGAAAATTTGTCGATATTATTCTGTTTTAATGGAAATCCGTACTGTGTTTGCCAGAGTAAATTGCCCCTCGGGTTACCTTCAATGCAAGCTGCCTTTGCAGTAAGAGCTTTTAATTAAAAACATATGCTAAGAATTGTCGAAAAAGATAAAGAGACCTAAACTAGAGAAAATAAAATCATTGGGGACATTGGCAAACCGTTTGTGTGTTTTACGGCAAAGACTGGCACGCCATGAAGGAATCGCCAAAAATCTTCAGAATACATCTTTGAGGAAGCTCTTAAAGAGGCTGAACAGCCGTCACTGATTACGTTTGTATATGTAGACTAAATTTTGTAAGCAAAGAGGTTAAGGATAGATTTTAATTTGTTGTATCTTCAGCTTGTTGAACCTGTGAACTACGGTGTTGGTAGAGCAGACCATTCCTTTGGTGTTATTTGGAACAGGAGCTATTTTAGCGTTAGACGTAAGAATCATAAAGGTTTTTTGGCCCGAAAAAAGTAGCCGACGAATGATGCCAGCTGAAAGATAAGGCAGAATTGCTTCCGTCAAACGATTTCTTAGTATATCCTCCAGAAATCAGCATCATGTTGTACAAATTTTGCTAGGCTGGTCTTAGGACTTTACTTTGATGCCTACAAAAACTTCGTATTTCCCACGATCGCAGGTTTCATTTAATATAGACATAGCTATCTATAAAAAGCTTCAACTATAGTATATACAATGTTCTTTGGATTGTACAAATAAAGAGTTATTTACAAAATATAAATCATAAGCTGTACTGAAAACGATGATTTGAGCAACGATCTCAATCTCTTCACTCTTGACATCTGATGGTGAATAATTTCATAGAATAGGGCCTGAACATTTTTAAGAAGGAGCATCCAGTTTTGTTATGACGTCAAACAGAAACGCTCCACAACGTCGTAAGTGTCCTGCTCGATATGTGCTTTCTAACCTTCTATTAATTGTTCATTTTTCGTGCTGCAAAAATTGCTTCTTATAAATTCTGCATAGCATATTGGATTCTAAAGAGCTCATTCACGTCTTAGAAATTGATTTATAATGCTTATAGATATAAATTCAAAACTGCGAATCAGAGAAAGGCAAGAGAAATCAACAGTTTCATACCACCAACATACCTAGCCTCACAAATATAAAATCTTCAACCAACACAACTGTACTTGATTTCATTCCATGTGAGAGTTTTTCTTCCTCCCTGCTCATTCTGTTTTTTTGTTCACAAGAGAACCCAGCAACTTAAAGAAAATTCAGCACTGTTGCGCTTTTGTGAGATTCAAACTCTTGAAAGCTCTCGAAAGTTACAACTTCTCTTATGACATGCGAAAACCTTTCTTGCGTAACAAAGATAACCAAAGGTTAATAACATTAATGGTCGTTTCTGCACCAATTTACTTGCAATTAGTTATTCACTTACAGATTTATCTCTTTATCCAATTAAAGGTAAATTTCAACTAGATGATAAGACGAATACTATTAAGAAAGATTAAATCAATGACATAGGAAGATGTAAACAATCTGAAGTTGGCGACAATGAGGTTTTAAATGATGTTTTCCAAGTTAGAAGGCTATGAAAAAGTAAAGTGAATTGGATGAAACGGCACAGCAACACGTATTTTGAAACAAACCATCCTCATACATTCATGAAAGTTGCATTTGTAGCTTTAATTAATGCAACTGTTGAGTATACAATCCAGATAAGACAGAAAAGGATGTAAAAGTTGCTTCAAGGCTAATATCGAAAAATCTCAATTAAGAAAACAGAGACATTTTCTTATTTTTACTTCCTTTTCAATCTAATAAAAACATATTTTTATATTCTAGGATATAGATGAAATTAACGTTTACCTGTCTATCATATGGTGTTTTTAACATCCTTTTATAAGATTTAATTAAGAATGTTCAGAAATGCCAGTAGATGTTGGTCATGACCAGGGGCGTAGCTAGCAGGGGGTTAAGGGGGTGTGGCACCCCCAAATCTTCACGAGTTTATAAGTAAATTATTTGTTGGTGCTGGTTTGTCAGTAAAATCGTCTATGGGTAGGATAATAGTTACTCTTTATCTTTGTCTTCTTTCTTAAATTTGTCTTTATCGATGTCTTCTTTGGTATAATATACTACTCATGACCCTCCACTCCCTAATATGGAAGGTCAAGCTACGCCACTGGTTTTGAAGATATATTGCCTTTATCTGAAATGGGCTCTTTACTTATGCCCGTGAAGTCTCGGGGTGGAAACGTTTTTGCTCTAGTATAACGTCCAAAAGGAGGCTAATAAGCTATATGAAAAGCACCAAACGCATGGATAATTTAATTCGAAGCTAAAAAGTGTCTATACATCAGTTCTCAAGGAACGTTTCACTTTGCATTCTAATTATGTCTATAAACATAGGGATAGGAGATATAGGGGCTGGGGGAGCTACAGCCCCCCATTATCAGGCAACATTTATTGCATTTTGGGATCCTTTCGAGCAGTTTTATCTCAGCCGGGCAATGATATTTGAACAAGATCCACGCACCCCCCCCCCCCATAACCATTTTGCATTCGCTACGCCCGTATGTGTTAACCATGATAGGAAACGACCAAATTACGACATGTTTCTGGTTCTACTTGTTTAATTAAAAACCTGAACCCAGTCCATATTTTGCAGCTTGTTTCTAGGTTCTATCAATAAAAGTTCCTGGATATTTTGGCACCGGCTGTTTTCGTGTGGGGTTCCTCTGTATCAGCTTCGCTAATTGTGGTTACGATCTTGAAATTTCATAGCTAATTAGCTGGGGTTTCCAAGTGATAGAAATTTGATAAGATTTATTGATTAAGTAATGTGGTTGTGAATGAAGTCAAATGGTCTATATTTGACGACGAACATTCTTAGGAATGTGTATTGAAATCACTAGAAGATGGCAAGAATGAATTAGGAAACAAACTAGAAGATAGAGAGAGTTGTAAAATCGGACCTTGATTAAGATTCAGGGCTGCCGCGAGGCTCGAAAGAGGCATATACGCTTTGTATTTCCGGCAAAAGTTTACCATGTGCCTGGCTCCTTTTATGGGGTTTTGGCGTGACTGATTGAAGATATGAAATAGATACTGAAGTGCAGTAAATTGATGCCCGGACTACTCTATTGATAGAATATGCAACTTAAAAGTCCAAAAAATGAAGTAGGACGGAAATCTGAATCATGCTGTTGATACACACGAGCTTTAAGTTGACCCCAAAATTTACTTTAAGCGTACTAGATGAGACGGGGGAGAACCTCATGTCACTGTAGCTACTATTTTCCAACCTCCATTGCCTAGACAGAAGGATAAGGGGGAAAAGGAGTTAAACGGTCATATGAATCCTCGCAAATGCATACATGTGCATTGATTGCTTGTTTCTTGCCTGTTTGCTGCTATTTTGTTGACGCCATTAAAAACCAAGGTATCAAATTTGCATCGGGGTTGCTTTTCCATGGATAATAAGCTATATAAAGCTTCATATATCAACTATAAGAGAGAAATACATCAAAATGTTGTAGAAAAATATTATGCCCACTGTTTTCGTCATCACTTAAGATAAGGTAACTGACCATGAGAAATTTTCTGTCGTGTCTTGAATGTTTTGTTACTAAAGTTCAAGTTAGCTGCTTCAAAAATAGATACTTTGATCTAATTTGCTACTTCTTTTCTGACAAATTGAATAAAAAAGTTGATAACCAAATTTCACTGTACAAAATAAGTAAAAAGCCACTAAATATCCAAAATATTTACTTGTACACCCTCCCTTTGTTCCTTCAGTCAAAGCAGACGAAAGCATTGAAATGATGTGTATTTTTGCTCAGACGAAAAGACTTTTCAATATTACTCAATGATTAAATCACGGGTGGTCTTTTTCTGTCCCTTGGAATATTACTACTTCTTCAGATTCCTTGAACAGATGGCAAAAGCAATAGCCATTGCAACATGTGCAGATCATTTTACACTCTTATGGCAGAGAAAGGCAGATTCTGCGGCAGAGACCTCGAAGTGTAGCATTAAGTTTTATATATGTTCAGGAAAATACTCATTCATTTCTTGGCGACACCAATTTTCTAATCTAATCGATAAGTTTTGAGACAAAGTGCAGAGATCTTTTTGATTGGCTCAAAATGGAAGTACTGATAAGCGTACAGTGAGTGGGGTCCATTCACTGATCTCAAAAAAAGACTGGATCGAACAACCTATTGTTCTCCTGGATCAGCACAAGGAAGCGATTGAATCTCTCCATCTTGAGACCTCTCGTGTCTAAAGTTGTGCATTAATCATTAAATTCTTAAATATTCTAAGAGACAACAGGCCTAGGAAAATAAGTGAACAATGGATTCTCCGTTGCACAAGCTTAATATCACGGCAAAAATGTTTAACGTCAATTACGAATGCTGCAAGTCTTTGTTTCAATGGTTAATTCTAATTTTTTTATGGAAAAGCAAGTTGAACTAAAACCAATATGATTGCACTCTAGTCTCATACAACACGGCAAGGTCTCAAGATGGACGCTGCTATGTGGATTCAGCGCTGGGCTGGAGAAGCTCGATCCAGTCTTTTTTGAGATCAGTGGGTCCATCTTGATGCATGAGCTAGTCATTGAGCCCAAGCTTCTCTAATAAGGAGGTATCGTGAAAGTTTAATAAAACTGATCAATGGAAAGAAGAAATCTAGAGAAACTAGGTTTTTTTAAAATATCACAGCAAGAATGATGTGTAGAATGAACAACAAAGTAAAAATAAGAAAATCAACTATTTTTATTTAAAAACTGGAAGATCTTCATAAGGGCTATTAATTTTTTATATCTAAAAATAATTCCTATTTACCCTTGGCAGTAGATTTTTGAACAACGATTTTGTTGTTACATTTTGAAGTCTATGGACATTTTTGCGTTCTGAAAATATTCAACATATTATGAAACATTTCAATCTACAAAGTGGCTGCCAGGGTTTGTCTGAGATTCTTTGCACAACTGTTGACTGAAAATTTCGGCAAGAGTAAGAACTACTGGGACATTTTCTTGATCTAACAAGCTCAGTGAAAAAATATTTGATTATGTTTTTGCCATATTTTCCCACAATTTACTTGCAAGGAGTAGCTCTTTGACAATAGTGTTGCATGCCTTTAAACGTCTGTAAAAGACTTACCCGCCGATGCCGGGAGGGGGGGGGGCTATGCTATTAAGGTTGTGGCATCAAAGATAATGGTGGCACACTACCATAATAGTTTGCAAACTTGTCTAAATTTTCTCCGGCGTCCCTGACCATAAAAGTCACAAACGAAAGTACATCATCTGAAGAAAGGGCAATATTATTTGAAAAGGGAGGTTTCTTTCTGATAACAAGGATAAAATTTAATTTTTTTTGGGAAAAAGTAGGAACTATAGCCACACCCAGAACTAGCCAAGGAAAACATTGCGCCTCTCAGCTGACCCTCAAGAGCAGCGCAGGGGCTATGCCAAAACGAAAGTGAGGCAGGAGTGCCAAACTGGTTTTGTCATCCATCTTGCATTTCGGTTCTGTGGAAGAAATTATTATAAGCAAAAAGCTAAATCACAAACACACCAAGCAGACTGACGACAACTTTGCAGTATAAAGCACCAAGTAAGTACTATTGCATATTTTACTATTACACGGTGGAGTAATCTTTCGATAATTTCAAAGTCATTGTTATGTTGCCAGCCCGTCCTCAATTTCTTCCTTGAGACAATGTTATGTTCTTTTAAAGCTCATTTATAAACAATCAAGAGTCACGAACTTCCAAGTTGTGCGCCAGTTTCCCATAAATTTGGTTTATTGAATCTTAACCATTTTTATCTCATTGATGATTGGAATATTCGAGTTCTATAATAATGCGATTGGTAGAGAGAAATTTCATAAAATTTATGCAATGTACATTTTCATTGAAATTGTATGTCTAAGGTTTTCCTAATTTCCTTGTTGAAAATACTTACAAGGAAAGCCAAAAATAAGGCTTCATGCATATGTTTATCAACTCAGTGCCTTGAACTATTTATTCTGTCTTGAAATTTACTGTTTAGGTACATGTCTTTTATACAATGTCTGCATGCTTATATAGACTTGCAGGCTGGTCTGGATTTCATGGCGGTTTTTGACAAGATATTGGGAGCGCACAAGGTATTACCTGGGAGTCCCAAGAGTGCACTTGTGATAAGTGTGCATCAAATTTCTCTGTGATTCTTGAGTGTGTACATATTTTTCCCAGTACTTATCCTGATTACATCAATTTTACACCCCAGCTAAATTCAATGATTGAGAGTTTAACTTTGCTTACCTACCTCTACCATCAGTGGCTGTTATTCAAATTCCTTAAGGTTCCACAAGTAAAGGAATAATTTTATAAATAATGTTTAAAGAAGCTTTAGACATGATCATCCTAAAGGATGATCTCAAGCGGGGCCACCAAGAGGGGAGCAGGGGGCAAATTTTCCAAGGGCCTTGAGATCAAGGAAGCCTCATCACAAAGAAAGAAATTCCATTTTAAGGAAGGACTTGATCAAACGTAACAGGCCTATAAAATTGGAAAAAGTTCTAAACAATTGCAAGAGAATGACGGCAAAAATATTCTTAAATTTGTTTTAAGCTAATCTAAAGAATGTGCTATGAAAATTTTCTGCTTGCTTCCCTTGCAAGGGACTCATTTTCATCAGAAACACTCATTTTTAAGAGGATCACTCAATTCAGAATGGCACATAGTGGCAGACACTTGGGGGGGGGGGGAGAGGGGGGAGACCACCTCCCAATACTTTAGAGGACAATGGTCTTTTGTTCCAAAACAATGGGGAATGTGGAATCATCTTATTAAGCAATGGGCTTGCCCCTTCAATATTTGACCAAGTGTCTGCCCCTGATGGCACATTTTTTTCCAATCTCAGTTGGGAACAAATTAACAAAGTCATTTTGCCTCATTTGGAAAATGTTTTCATTTGAGCCACACCCAAACCCAAATAATGCCCATTATTGCAAGAGTGCACTAGTAATTTTACAAAAATTTCTTGGGAGTGTAGCTGCCATGGAATCCATACTGGCTTGTAGGCGCGGATCCAGCCTGAATTCTGACCTTTACAAAGGTTGTCAGAAAGAGAAGCCATGCCCTTTTATGTTGGAAACGCTCAAATCTCCTGAATATAATCAGTAACACTGATGTTGAAGGGGGTTCCAAAAAGGAAATCTTAGGAAACAACTCACAAAGAGTAGAAGACTAAATTTACCTGCAACTCGAAAAAGCCTCTCTGTGTTGCCAAACCCCAGTAGGATTTGAATTGGGGCCACCCACACTCTGAACCCAGTCACCTTACCACAACACTGCACAACTGCAAAAGTTGACTGACTCAGCTAGAAGTTACTTAGCAGGGGGAAGTAGTTATTATCAATTTCCATTTCATTGGTTGCAACAAACAATTGCATAAGTCCACTGTAAATAATAGCATAGGTCAACTCTGATTCCTATTGGTTGCTTGAATTGCTACAGAGGCAAGCTCAACTTCTGATTTGATAAATCAAATTTCACCTATGCTGGTGCCAAAGATTGCAGGGGTGAAGTACACATTGATTGGCCTACAAGACGTTTGTATAGGTCAAACAAGCTGTGATCAGCTCTCAAGGGACAAACAAGCTCCTGGATTCAGAAAATACGGACCTGATAAATAATCAGAATCTCCACTTAACTGTTCTGTGCAGAGGCCGAAAGATAGTCGGCAAAATTTATGCTCTGTCTTATGCATGTTGTTGGTATCAACAGGGAAGATCTTGGATGGACATTGCTAAAGAATTTGCCAACAATATATATTTAATATATATTGATTTATGCTTCTGCATAGGTTGCTGTCGCTGGATTTGCCTCTGACTTGTATGTGTTGAGCAAGATAGTCTTAAGCTGTTTAAAATTGTTCACCTCTACACATTAAAGCATTTAATATAATGTTTGGTTTATTAAGATCAAACTGCCTACAATCAATGCAGGTACTAGCTTGAATGTTATGAATGCAGAATAGCTAATGAAAAAATTAATAAATTGCCTGTGATTTTAGGCACTTTTTGAAAAGATTTTTCTGAAATTCTAAGCAAATGTATGGCAGACCTTCAGGAGGACACAAAAAAGTAGATTAACAATTTGCATGCAACTCCCATCAGAGAAGAACAAACTGGATGATAACCAATGCTAATGCGTTGTGGACACTGCTAAAAAGTATGAAGTTTAACATGACCTTGAAAATATAGCACCTTTCCTTTTCTTGCTAGAATTGGAATTGACTGAATACCTAAAGTACATATTTGCCACGAGGCATCATCTTGTAGATAGAATGCCAAAATATAAGACTGTGACATGGTTCAGATTGAAGGTCAGGTGGTGTCACATGTTTTCTTCTGGTTGGTTTGGGCCTGTCTACATATCTTTAGTGAGGCTGGGTTTAGTGTTTTGTACTGGTGAATCCATTAAGTGATGTTTTGCAGGAAATTCAAGGCAAAGGCCATTCACTGGCAAATTTAGAAAATTGAGTTATGGTGCAAGACAACAAATCAAATTTAGCTACTTCAAAGATCAATCTTACCTTATTTGGGATTTCAGGCTGCTTTTTGTTAGGAACATATGTATTTGGAAATCATTTGTCATCTTCAATTTATATATCTTAGTAGCAAAGCTGTTTATGGTTCATGACCTTTAATACCCACTTTTCCATGTAATTTGTCTTGCTTGACCTGAATCAGGTTTATTACTGTGGAGGCACATTTAAACTTGCATTGCACTCAATTTTATCTTGATTCTGTCATACTCTCATATTGGTAGATAATATCAGGCTGGTTATCATCTGTAAGCCTTTGATTTTGCTAATGTACTGTTTCCCAAACTTCATGTCAGGAGGTATTCACTTTGTCGGAATATACCATAAAAGCTATATTAAGTCCTCCCTGTCTTTTAAGCTGTCTCTTTATAAAGCCCCCTCTTTTGCCTCTGATGTCAAACAAGAAAAACATGTGCATGGAGTGTTATGATGATAAGATCGTGTGCATTGAATACAGCTAAATGTAAAGCTTTACTTGTGAGCCTTAGAGGTCAGTGGATATTTGTTCAGAAGATGTCCCAGGATTATCAATTGATCCTGGTGACCCTGAAGAAGATGAGAACATCATAATTGATTAAATTCAATTAACTTTCGAAGCTGCTAGCAAAGTTTTTGGGGACATTTGTATGACATACGTATAACAAAAAAGTGCACGAGGCCTTTTTTAACATTTTTATCTTGAATTATTTATAAGCTCCCCCTCTTTCTTAAGCCCCCCTCCATGACTCAAAAAGTAAATAAGCCCCTCCCCTGGGGCTTAATAGAGCTTTTCAGTGCTCACTTTATAATTTTGCAATTTATTGCTTAAAGTAATTTTTCTTTTGTTTTGCAGACTTGTTTATACTAGCACGCAACTTGGCTTTAACTTGGTGTCCAATTTCTTATGTGGAATTGAATGGAAATATTGTAATGTCCCTGAAGCCGAAAACAGTAAATTTTGAAGAATCATGGATGAGAATCAAAAAGACATTGAACACTGTAATAACTTATGGGAGTAGTTCATCTGAGAATGAAAAGGTGCAAAAAAGAGCTGACTGGAATGACAGATTCTCGTATCCTTACTCAATTAATAAAAATTTGTAAAAATCACAGGTACCTTTAATTCTAGCAGATTCTGCAAATATAACATGATTTTAAGATCAGTTCGAATAAAAACTCAAAAATTTCTGCGATGTGATTTGGGCACACAATTTTTCTCTTCTTTATTTTCTCATATTTTAGTATGGCTTTGGAGACAACCTCGAAGTCTTTGTTAGATTTATTCTTCAGTGTGATTGTGTAACTATGTTATTGCTCGATAAGATTTCTAATGCTCAAAAAATAACATCATTGCAATATACATGCTCAAAATGAACCTGTGATTAAATCTTTTTTGAAGCACTATAGCATCTCTCTTTTGAATCTTAATATTTTTAAGCCCCTTAACACTGCAGTGATATTTATGCACTATGTGTTGCAAGCCCTGAGCCTTACACAGCAAAAGTTTACGAAAAGACAATGAACTTTTTCAAGGACTATGTGGAAAAGTTATATGAGGTAATTATTTTATGCTATATTTATGGCTGTTCAAATTCTGTTTTCAGCAACCCAATATTGATGGGACAGTCATCATTTAATGTTGGAACCTAAGGGTAGTTATAGTTAGTTTAGTTATTTATAGTTATTAGCATAGTCCTTTTGAGGAATCTAGTGCTTCCATATCAGTCGCTAGAAGCCTTTCAAATATCCGCCATCGGTTTATTGCATTCATAGCGGAATGCCAGAATTCTGTTGATTATTATGTACATAAGACTAAGACACATTTTCATTCAAAGTCTTGCTTCTTTTACATAATAAGTCCAATAAACTAGAACCTTGATTGGTTGTATCATGTTGCGAAAGTTGGATTCAAACCTAGGCAAATTTGTTTGTACTACGTCATCGAGAATATTGCTCTTATAAGCGTCAGTAACCAATAGCATATCGTAGTGTAAAGCCACATCTCAAGTGAGTATCATTCTTGAATAAGCATCTTCTTTTTAGCATCAAGTTTTGAAAAATCTCGAAGAAGCCCCCATTTGGATCAAGGGCCCCCTCTATCAAAGGCAGAGCCCCCTCTGTAACATTTATTAGGCACCCTCTCTATCTTCGGTTAAGCCCACGGGATGGCTTTTTGAAATTTTACGGTATTTCGACGTCCTTTTTTGCAGGAAGAGATTTCTCGATCTTCTGATATGCTGACAAATTATGAATATCACTGGGACCAGTTCAGTAGAGGATCTCAACACATTAACTCGCTTTTTCGGTATGATACAAATCGATTTATGTTTCATATTTTAGTATCGGTAATAGTAGATCTTCATGCAAGCTGCGGCCATGTTAAGAAGCATGGTAATTTATCGTACCCTGAAAAGAACAGAACCAAATAATCGCTATTTACTTGGAAGATAAAGAAAACATCAACGTCATTCTCGTAGCATTTTGAGGTCAGATTGTGGCGGTGTAACTAAATTGTAGGATAAGACCAAACAACGACAAAGAATTCGTAGACGCCGAATACAATAATTATAAAGCAATAGTTTTTACCAATACTTCGCAGCCTGTTGAGTTGCATTTCCAGGGCTAGAACGGTGGCCTTGAATATTTTGTTTGCCCTACAATTGTAGCCTCTGCAGCCATAGCTCAGTTTAGCGGGGAAGGGGGGCGGAGGAGGGTTGTGGGGCTCGTGTCACCCCTCTTCAATGCTATTCAGTAATTTTGTATGTATTTTCAATCGTGTAAAATTAGGAAATGCAAGCATTTTTGCCACAGGCAAAGCACAGAATTGGTATATTCCGGTAAAAGTAACTGACGATGCATCTTCTTTACCTCAAAACAATGTTGGTTGTAGCCTTGAGTAAAAGCTGAATTACGGGAATGAATCGTGTTAAAACGGAACATTCGAAGGTGGTATTCGGAATGCTTTTGAGTTTGCCTGGTTTACATATAGGGTTTATTGCCATGTAGCAAAGTTGCTATAAACTGAAAACCTCCAAAATATTCACTTCTTGAACATCGAGAACGTGAACATGAGGGCGCTGCATTTCCATGCAGCGTTGCCTGATATCTTTGAAAAACTTCTCTACACGCTAAACAAGATAAATTGGCAAGCATAATCCCTCTCATTGATATACATGCGTCTATGGTCTATGTAAATCGATGCTGGAAGATAATGAAAATTACTTTTTACCGGTTGGTAATAAGGTGCACGATACCGTATATGCAGACCTGTAAACGCTATTTGGTGCATAGAACAGGAAGGTTCTAAGTTGCTACTCCGAGTTTTACGCTTAATTCTATTGGTGCATAGAACAGGAAGGTTCTAAGTTGCTACTCCGAGTTTTACGCTTAATGCTATTGGTGCATAGAACAGGAAGGTTCTAAGTTGCTACTCTGGGTTTTACGCTTAATGCAATCAACCATCAGGCAACTAATCAGCGTGAAGTTGGAAGATAAATGGTTTGGAAGTGGAAAAATGACCAAGCTGCTGTTGATTCACGCTTTGCTGCGGTGTTGTTCACGCTTTGCTTCGGTGTTGAATGCTGTGTGTTCGAATACAGATTTGACTCAGTGTGTTCAGGCTGCATCACAGGGACTAGCTGGTGCCAAAACTGGGGAGGTTAAAGAATGCGAAATATAAAACTGACTATCCTGCCCCCTCATATTGTCTTCTCATGATAAGTGCCCTCTCTCACACGCAGGTACTAGAAAGAGTGATCGTAAACAGGACCCATAATTCATTTAGGTTGGTCACAATTTGCAGTTTTCCTAATGATCGAAATTATCTGGTTTTAAACTTAGGCTGAATAATGCAGAAAGTCAGGCACGTCTGAAGCCCCCCACCACTTCTCAGAGATAAAAAAAATTTTGACCGTCTTTTTTATTATTTTTTAAAACAGAGGATGAAATAAAAAGAGAACAAATTGTTTATATACTGCTTAATTTTGTTTGATCTATTTACTAACTTATTTAGGTATATTTCTATTATTTATCCATTATTTGCATCAATTTAGTAGACACCTTTCTGTATCATTGCAATGTCTGCATTTTGGATGTGTTAACATGGCCTACTGAAAATACTCGAGTCAAAGAAGTTGCACCTTTCTGTTCAGGAAGTAAAATTTTCTAAATAAATACAACAGCCTCTTGCTATTCACATCAATGTGCACTTTTAACCAGAGGTCACCCTTTATTTCTTTCCCCAACGTCTGTCACTAGAGTTTTAGCATGACTCCGCCCGTCCCAAATTTTTCCTAAAAATCGATAATCAATGTTTTTCTGAGAATCGTCGAATTGTCTATTTTGCACAGTATAGAAGGCTTGATTTCAAATATTTTCTTGCCCTAAACTTGATTCTTAGCCCCCAGGTTCAATTACGTGGTGCGGTCTCTGAAAGTTTCATCACCGTTTACAAAACCAAGTTTAATCGCCAAAATTATTTAATCCCTTTAAAATGTAGCTCATTTTCACTATTTTGGTGGTAAGCATCTTGTCACTAAAAATTGTACGAAGTTATTGAGTAAATAAATCAACATTTTACATGGTAAACAATGACAATTTAGTCTTTTCTCGGTTAATAAAGCTATAAATGACGCGGGCTCGGGATCAGCATAAGCTCAGGATTAATGTTCAGTTTCCTAATGTTTTTGTTGATTTTTGTACTGAAGGACTCTCTTTTTTCACCAAAAGTGCTAAAAAACTACTTTATAGATAGAAAAAAAGCTCGACATCTCAACATATATATATTAGCTAGTCAGGCGCCTAAAAGTTTTTTTCTATTTGATTTATCCAGAAATTCGTTTGTGACGGTTTTAAAAAGTCATTTTCATCCCATTTTCAATTAATCACTTTCGAACAGTTTCTTAAAATGGGGAGGGGGAATTGAAGTGGGGAGAAGGGGGTGTTCAGTTCTATGGTTTCTCAATTTTTGGCATTTTCAGGGTTGGTTTCATATAGACGGTTTCTGTTGAAAAACATGTTCACCAGATGTCGTGAATCAACAGCAGCTAATTTGACTCTCCGTTCAAAGTAGACAGTGAAGCATGCAGCCTCAGGACCAAACTACTGTGGCAAACAGTGTTGATTTAAGCAAGTGACTTCTGATCATCCTTGATTTGGCTTCGATTTGCTTTTTTGACAACATTCAGACCGTTGCTACGAGGATGGGGATGTGGGGTTGTGACACCCCTCTTGGAAAAAAATCCATTGCAAAAACGAGGGGTTTTCTTCCATATAGGGGTGCTTCGTTGGCAAATGTACAGACTTGTCGGCAAATTAAAGATGATTCATCGACTTTGTTGGCAAATGGGATTGGAGCATCCCCTGAGCACATTAGCTAGCGACGGCCCTGACACCAGTCTTGGAATAGGGTAGTTAATGGAACTCTCTTTTTTAGGGTGATTCTCGTATTTATTTTCATACATGATTTTGCTTGCATTGATGGATTTAAAGAAGTTTTTTTATTGATGCTTAAGTTACCACGTGCAAAATATTTCCTTGATTTACAATGTGTTCACTGTGATTCAGGTTGTAAATAAAGCATAGGCCGATGACGATTATTAAGCTTTAGTGTCGTGCAAACGAGATCCTATTTCAAAAGAAAGTCAGTGTTAGATTTAGAACTAGCTTTGGCCAAGAGACCTGCATAAGCAAAAGGGTAATGCTAAGTTACTCACCTAAAGGATAATATGAATCCATGCCAATCGATGTGACAATTCTAGAGCGAGGGTTGCAGCTTGCTTTGTGGTTTAGGAGCCTGATTAAATTTGATTGTCGTTGACAAATATATCGATTTCATGAACGACATGCGAGATTGCATTCTAGCAGATTACAATATGGTATTTCAAAGCTGCTTCTACCATCGTGTATCTAATTTCCAGTCTCGTGCATTCTTGCTGCAACGGGTTTACATTTGAAAGTAATAACAAAGTGACTATAGTTTTCCATTCTAATTGTTACTTGTCTTGCTTTTCCTGTCTCCTCTTAGCCTTGTTGCTAATTGGACCATTTCTTAAGTAGTTACGTATATGGTGTTTACTTACATATATGGGCATGCATTACTTGATTGACGTCATTCGGTCCTAGTATCTGCTTGTTTGTTTGGCGCTTATCGCTAATCAGGGAAGATTTTGGGATTTCGTTTGCACATTATCCATTCTCAGTGTACAGAACACCGAATATTGTTTTCGTTTCAAATTGTATTTAGAGCTAATAAGCAGGACGTTTTCCAATACACACTTTAAAACTTTTTACCATCTTGTCTTTGTTTCTTATATGTATCTTTCCGCAGTAATCCGCGGCTAGTCAAGTGTTGCTTGGTAACTTGATTGCTTCGATTGGCCTTGCCTGGGAAGTAATTTGCAGTTTGTTTTTGTAATGTTCTTCACCCACAGACATAAGAACCGTACGATTTTATTAACATCAAATACGTAGCTTGCAAGCTTGAATAATGTATAGACAAACATTGAAGCTTTGAAAAACTAGAACATTGTTTCGGAATAAGGTTGTTTTAAAGTTTAAAAAAGACCTTTGTTGCCTAGAATAGCAAGCTTGATGTGGAGAATATCTTGTAGCCAATATCTGCCAAAAAATATTTCTTGTTTGTTAAGGTGCATTTGTGGGCACACATTTCCTAATGTCTTGAAGCAAGCGTTGCCACATCTTCCTTGCATCATAAGAAGAATATAAGGATATTAGAGAAATTCTCAATCTATTTTGAACAGATCAATAAATAAATGCAGCAGTTGTTGGGTTTCTGCAACAGGGTTTTTGAAAATTGTGTTGTTGAGCAAATAAGGAAATGTTAGTATGAACACAAGTAAATTTTGCCGTATTTACATAAAAATTGAAACATTTCGCAAAACATTTTCAATTATTATGCTGTAGATTTGAGGGTTGTGGTACCCTTAGCATAAAAATTGCCTTGCTCGACTAACAACAGATCCCAAATGTTTGCCCAGTAATTTGTATGGCAGTTTTCAAAACCTTTCCATAGGACTGTAAATGTACCTATCAAACAAACAATAAAATTTTGACAACTGTTTCCATTTCGAGGTCCAAAAAGGTTTAGGGACTATTCTTTCTGGTCGAGCAGACTGTGCAAGGTGTTTCTATGGGTGATTCACGAATGTATAACCAGCCATGAGCAGGACCGTCGAGAGGGGGGGGTAACCAGGGTAGTTACCAGGGGGCCCGGGGCCTTGAGGGGCCCGTAGAAAATAAGGTATGTATTTTTGGCTATGAGTTTTCAATTAGCAGCATTGGCAGGGCGGGCCCATGACCCGATTGATATTCGAAATTCATTCTTTCAACAAGGGATCAACAAGCTGGTCTATGATGAGGGCCTTTTTTTGTTAAGGTTTATAATTAAAACATTGACGATACGATCACAATATACTTCTCTGAAAGCCGAAAAATTCGATTGCACTTACATATATCTACTTTTAGGTCAAATGTTTTAGTTATTCCTTGTGTGGACTTCCTATAAACGTAAAACTAAATCTTCCATTCACGGCGTACACCAGAGAAAAAGCACATGCGAAGAACCAAGACAAATCCAAACGCTATAAAAGTCTTTATCAAAATCACTAAGCGGGATCACGATCCAACCAACCCCTGCGATGTCATCTTACAGGCACAAGTCTGGTGCTCAGAAAAGGCAGGAAAAAGATGCGAGAAAAAGAAGCAAAGAAAGCCTCTCGCACATTGTTTGAGGTAGGTGCTTACAAAAGAGACAAGGAAGGTGATTCAACTTTAAATAAACCTGGTGAAAGCTCTGTTCAAAGCACCGCTGAAGAAGAAGAAGACACAAACGGCTTGGCTGCTTCGGTAGACCATGACACCCCAGAAAGTAGAGAAAGCACTACTGATCCGTCATTAAATCAAGATACTGTTCATAGTGGATCATCTAGTTTTGATATCGGCACATTGACCGGATTTCCAACGATAAAGGAGTTAGAAAAGGTTGTTAGAACTGGTCATTTGCCTCATCCTCCAGAGTTTCCCAAAGATTGCGACGGCCAAAAATTTCCAACAACGGTCCTTAATGTGAAGCAGCAAAATTGGGAGGTAGTAAGAAGAAGCTGGCTTGTTTTCAGTCCTACAAAGGCTGCACTCTATTGTTTGCAAAGCACACTATTAATAATGGTTCAAAATCAAAATTGGCTTCTCCTGATGGTTGGGGAGCGAACGACAGCTGGAAACGATTGTGGGAAAAGATTAAGGATTTCGCCATGAGGAAAGCAAGAAAAGCAGTTTTTTAAACATTAAATTAACTCTGATTTTTAAACTGATTTGTTTTAATGATTTGTTTTATATAGTCACTAATTACATGTTCTGTTAAAGACCTTAAAATACAAATTCAAGTGTTTCAGTGGCGTTGATTTCAAAATTCATGCCTTTTACAGTCCATCTAGCTGCATTGCTAAGGGCGTAATCCAAAAAAGGTTTTTGCAGCCTTCGACTGTGGGGCCCCATGACAGTCCCAGCCCTGGGGCCCGGCCCGTCTCTCGACGGCCCTGGCCATGAGTATTGAGTTTCACTCCCGATCAGTTGATCTTGTAGTGGTAGTCTTTCATTTAACATTGTACGGACAAACATCATGGTTTCGTTAGGCTATTGATAGAAAGAGAGTTGTGCGTCGAGGAGTAATCACGATTGATATAAACATATGCTCTTTGCAGATATAACTCTTGCTATAGAGATATTCAAAGATGTGTCACTACTGATTCTTTCATGCTAATGACAGCATTTTGTTCTCACTAAATCACCTCTGATAATTGAATTTTAGTTTCTCCCGTTTAAACATGCGCCTTGCATAGGTATCGAACTCGAGTAGATACAGTTCCTATAATTTCTAGCTGAATTTCGTTAACATAAAAAAAACACCATGAGAAGTTTCATTTTTGCATTGCAAAAGTCAATTGCACAATACTTTGCGAGTTATAGAAGCTTATATTCGCTCTTGTGCTAGATAACTTAGACTCTGATTTGTGTTTTTACGTATTTTTTATCCATTTCTTTTGTTCATTCCTAGATATTTAAATGGGCTTTATTGTAAGAAAAAGAAGACGGACTTCTACGAACATCCAACCATCTACCCCCACTCTCAATCGGATGATAACATCGAAATTGGCCATGTGAGTATTTTTATTCGTATTGGTGACATTTCTAAATAACTGGAGACAGCGTAAGCAAATGCTGGATTTACCGCATGTTCTTGCTTCGCCTTTTACTGAACTTCTGTAAAGGCGCAATAGAGTTTAAAAGTGATGACGTCATGAAAGTATGTTCGTAGAATCTTTTTTTAGTTTTTTAATCTCTTGCATGTCATCTGATAGTGTGCTGAGAAATACCTCTAAAGATGCGAGTTACAAATTTGCTGTGGTAAAATCAATTGAAAGATCTGAAATTAAGGATAATTACTGTAACTTTTGCCTGGTTCATTGCAATGCTAGGCTAGAGTCAAGACTAATTTATAGTGAAGTACTTGATAGAGAAAGTAAGTAACATATTGGGGAGCATCTCAGCAAGTGTTGGTTAGATTAGAATGTTTTATCATACACAATACAATGACATGTACAAAATGGAAATTTCCTTAAAGTATATTCTTAAGAGGACGTCACTTTTCACTCTCTCCCTGTAGAGACGCTATAATTGGTTCCGATACGCCCCCGACTCTGTTCCCTTTGCTCCGGTTTTCCCCAAACCAGCATTTGCCGGTCCCCTCTCATTCTTGAGTCCTCCGTCCTTAGCACCATACCTGTCCCAAAACTGTGAGTACAGTAAAACCCCGCAAACAATAACATAGGAAAATAAGAACTTACAGACTGATTTTGTGGAAAATAACACCCAAAGATAAGAACCAAAAACAGACTGATTTCTTTCCATGTTCTTGTGAGATTGTATATCATATTAAATAAAACATGAAAGTCTGAAAGTATAGTTTTTCAAGTCGTCATTGTGGTTTGATTATTATTATTGATTATAGAATTTATTGGCAGCATTAGATAATTGATGCCAGATAGACTAAAAGGGAGGATTTACACTCTCATCCCTTCTTGGAGCTTGGGTTCCATGGTGGTTTCCAATAATTCAAGACTGATATCTGCACTTGTGAAAATACTGCAAATTTCCTTTTTTTCTTGAAGCTTGCACTAGAAACATGGAAGACAAACATGATTGGCAGAATAAAGGATTCGCTCATAACTGCTGTATTGGATTTTATAAGGAGGTTAGTTTTTGCAATTCTATTACATTCAAGATCTTCTCGAACTTAGCACTAAGAAGCACACCACTCAAACTCACATCATTTTTCCATATTAGTAAATTTGTTAAAGCAACCTGCTTATTTTTTTCTTATTAAATCAAGTTGAATTATGCCCTATAATATAATTCAAAGAAGTAAGTGATCAAGATAGATGTTTGTGAACATAACATTATTTTTTCAAAATAACATTTTAACGAGATACAGATAAATATTCCAGGCCTTTTTAAGACAACAGAAATACTAAATGGGAATGTAAGAATGTTCCTCTATTAAAAGTCATTTTATTAAAGTACTTGTTAATCATTAAACTTAATTAGATATAAAAATAAATTACCAGCGGCTGTAGTTGATCGACCAGAATGAAAAAAATAGATTGACAGATATTTACTTTATATTAACTTATAAATATTTTCTATTTAAGATGTGATCACAGACAAACTTCTAACACCCAGGATACATTCGTCGGCTCGTCGGCTCGTCGGCTCGTCAGCCTATTACTATTCGTTGATTTGTGTCTGAACACCGAATTTTACTGTTTCTCCTTTTCGTTGACGGCTTGCATATTATCTTTCCCTCTTGAGGCCTTTCTTCTGCAATACTCTACTCGGAAAACGAAGGGAATATAAATGCAGTTTTGTTTTAAACTTCTTTTCAGCACCGCGGGGGCTCAATAACCTCAGATGGATCTTTAAAAAATGTTGACTCCATTGCGAGAGAATTTGTTTTGCCTTGCTGGTTGCTATCTTGTCCTCCAGGATCATACTTTGGAATTAATTCAAATATGTATCTACATGCCGTTTTATCTGTATAAGTAAATATTATAGCATTTAAAGCGCAATTCAAATATGCGAAACTAAACGAAAGAAAGTGTGCAAATCGTATTTCGATGGGTCCAGCTGACTTGAGAAAGTAAGAGTAATAGGCCGTCCATGTGTCAGTTGCTAGTGCCGGAAGGTAGGACAGCGTGTAAATGAAGAGTACCAGGACAATTATTTTGAAAGCTCTTGTGTGTGTTCTGTTGTTAAAGCCATGCTGTAGTGCCCTCTTTCTCTCTTTTTTGAGTGTAATGTTAAGTCGAAAGTAAACTGCAAACACTACGGCAAAGGTAAAAATGCGAGGGCACATCATAGTCATGTTTGGTATGTTTGACTTCGTGTGACCGAAGAAATAGGTTGCCACAAGGCCATGTAGTATTGCAAGAGGAAACAGGAGCATTGCTGTAATTCGGGTACCTTTATTGGACAGGAAAATGCGACCTAATTGTGGCTGCATTTTGATTGTGCCAGTTATCTTAAGATATCTTTGAAATGCAATAGCCATCAATAAGTAGTACGAGAAATGAACATTTGTTACACTGGTAAATGTAGTCGCCATCTCGAACCAGCAGCAGCGTGTGTATTTCAGGCTTGTTGCCAGAATTATGGCTGCTGGTATTTGAACCATCCCAGTGAAAGTATCAGATAAACTCAAAACAAATATTAGAAACTTCATTTTCGATTTCCACTGTTCTGTTTTGTAAAGAGCCAAGCTCAATGCCCCGTTGAATAATGCAACAGGCAAGATTGTGAGACTGTATGCTATAGCGATAGCAAGATGCTGGTTATTTGATAAAAAAATTCTCCATGCGATTGATGTATAGCACGTCAGGTTTGCTGCAGTGAAGTGAGTTGAGCTTTTGTTACTGGATGTAAAGTTTATGTGACTTGTCATTGCTAATGACTTGGACTGCAAAACTTTCCCCTTGAATCTTTGTGCTTCTCGATAAGAATTTTCTGCTCTGTCGGCTTCTTTGGCTTCCTGTCAAGTGGATTTTCATATTTCATTTAATTTCTTTTCAAAATATGATAATGTTGATACAAAAGGAGCTGGTTCGAACAATACGGATTCTTATTCATTGTTCATTCGTGCGGCTTGAGAAATGCATTCCATCAATTTAAATAAAAAAGCTCCCTCAGAAGACGTTGCCACACCCCTCATCAAATCAGGTCTTGAGGCTACATTCACTCATCACAGGAAGCAACGTTAGGCCGTTAGTGCATCGGCACAAGTTGCTTCACCTAAAGCCCCGGCCAAACGAGCCAACATTTCTCCCAACATTTCAGCCAACATGCTCTTTTCGCATGTTGGCTCAAATGTTGGGTCGTTTGGCCACCATGTTGGTTCACCCAACATTGTTGGGAAAGATGTTGGGTGAAATGTTGGATCGATTTGAAACTGGTCAAAAATGTTGGCGGCTGTTGGGTGTTGTTGGGCATTGCTGGCTCGTTTGGCCGGGTAGGCCAACATTTGTTGGCTTCACGCAAGCGCTGTAAGGAATTAATAAATGTGAATAGCGCTGCGCGCCAAGTTTGAGTTTGTAAAGCAGAGATCAAAATTGTGAGAAAAGCCTTTTGATTTGGAAGACTTAGGGATATTGGATGATGGAAAAGTACGAAGAAAGAGATTTAGTGAGTGAAGATGAGTACGACGAGGCCGTAGAGGAAATGAATAGAGTTTTGGGGAAAAGAAAATCGTTGCTTTCAAGATCAGGGATGGCAGGCTTAGGCCGTCTTGGACTACATCCACCAAAAAAAGTAGCCAAAATCAATGGCAGTGAAGACGAGCCAACTGATGATTATGCTGCTGATTCTGATAAAGAAATTACCCTGCCAAAAGAACATCAACGCAAGAAAGTAGAGAAAACGACAGTAACTAAGGAGATGAAAAATATTTCAGGTCAATCACGGAAGACAGCATGGAAACATGAGGAAATTTTACGATTAATAGAAAATCTGGAAGCTCGTCCTTGTTTGTGGAACGTATTTCACCAAGCATACCATTTGAGAGACCAACGCGGAAAAGCGTTAGAAGAAATCTCAGAGGCAATGAATATTTCTGTCATGGAAATTAGATCAAAAATTGCTGTTTTGCGAGCACAGCTAGGAAGAGGGATTGCCAAGTCCTCAAAAACAAAATCTGGACAAGGAAGGGACGAGCCTTACAACACCAACTGGCCCTACTGGGGGCCTTTACAATTTTTGTGTCCAGTTATGCAGCCAGGAAAAAGCAAAGATACCTTATCTTACAATCTGGAGTCACAAAATGTTGAAATTCAAGAAAACGATAGAGAAAAGACCAGCAAAGAAAGTGAAGATTCATCCTCAAGCACACAATTTTCTAAAAATTCACACTCTTCTTCAAGCTCACAAAAAGGGACTCCAAAGATGTCCAGTGCATCAATGTCTTGTGTGAACCACCACCACAACAGTCACATGATGCGTGAAAGAATGTCCATTTGCTTTGTTTGTAGCAGAAAAACTGAATAAGTTTGACGATCGCACAAGGGTGATTGCAGAGAAGAGAATTTGTGATGTCCTTTTCGACATAGAAATAAGTGGAGTTGCTTCAGCTCTTCCTGTAAACTACAACAGTTCCCATAACCAGTCAAGCAATGGAGGTGGAATGCATCACAGCAACTTTGGATTTCTAAACTATTTGCAGCAATGAAACTGTAAAAACCCACTGATGGTTTTGCAGCTAATTTCTTACCTGTTGGTTTAACCCTATCCAGACTGGGCTTTTCGAGCTGCTAGAAGGCTAAAGGGCTCATTCAGCCCCCCCCCCCCACTCTAAAATAGTAGTTGCTCCTTGGTATATGTTGACAAAAATCACCATAGACATAGCAGAGGTTATGATGTATCTTTTTTTTAAAAAGATATCCGAAAATAGATATGAGGTCATAATTATTCAAGACATAATGACAAGAGTACACAAAATGACGTCATAGTTGAAGTCACATAACACACGACTGAGCTTTTGTACATGAAATATTAAAAAGATCATACTTCTTATATACATTAGAGGTAACAAGGATTCCATAAAATGGTTATAGGATGCACCTGAATTGAGTACATCAAAAAAATCCTTAAATTTTGACAGTTATAAAACCCCTTCTCCTCGCGTCTTTTGATCCATTGCCTCTTTTTCCCTCGTTTGCTGGAACATTCGTCATCTTCTACCTAAGATATGAGAGAGGAAGAGAAACACGGCTGAATTAAGAGCCTAGTCTTTCCTAAACGAAAAATAACAAGAACTTTGAAATGAATACCGTGATGTAAACAGGCCTTAGCCTAATACATTAGAATGAATGAGGATTTGAAGAAACACATTACGCTTAATATCAAAAGGGGAGGGAGGGAGGGGAGAACAGCGTGGAAACAGCACACAAAGTAAGCACGATAATCCCGACCCAAAGCAATTAAATACACCCATCTGAGTCAGGGGGCCCACACTTTTGTGCCGAAATCCAAACTACAGAACTCCTTCTTCTCTATTATTCCCAATAGCATCAAAGAAGCGCATAAGGACTTAAATACCAAATTGAAGCATGACAATTGACACCCAAATGAGAATAATACAAATAAGCTAAAATAAGAACCCCTAGCAAAATCAAATTCTACGACATCCCTTGTGAAATTAACTCTGATAAGATTTCATTTGATCAGCATAATAGATATGCAGTGGTTGAAATCAGAAGCCACACAACAAGATGCTAAGCCTGAATGAGGGAGGAGCATGGACGGCAAGATTTAGGATCAGGACCGGGAAACCTGGGACCAGTGGCGAAGCTATCCAAAAATAGTTGGTCCTGCTGTATGGAGAGGGCCATGACCTTATTTAATAGGAAACGTCCATGAAAAAAATCTTTTTTGCAGATTATTTTTTTCTTAATTTCAGTAAAAAGCAAATTTTGAACTGATATCTATCTAAATTTGAACTGAAAATCAAACCCATTCTTAAAGGCGTGCTTTAGGGTGCTTACTTTTTGAAAGCCGGAATCAGTGCCTAATACAGCCAATCCTTGTTGTTTACCATTTCTTTCTCGCGAACTTTGTACTCTATCTTGCTACAAATAAACATTATGCAGCTCAACTGAGGCAAGTTTTGCTGTCAATAATAATAACATTGGTATCGCCTAAGCAAGCAGGAAACATTCACATCGCCTCGCCAAAATGCTTGAACTGGCCTCCCTGCTAGTACTCTCATCTCAATGTCTCATAATCAGAACGAGAATACACAGGGCAGGGCAGTGGTCACAGTCCTGCTCTCAGAAATAGCAAGACCAAAGCTTTTCAAAACAATGCTCTTTTGCCTATGTAGGTAACTCTCAACCAACCAAGTCACTACTGCTTATGACATGTTATGATGATCATTTCGACGAGGTCCTGCTCCCGAGATTGAGCAGGACAGCTCTTTGTTCTAGACTATAGTAGAAGCAGGACTAAATTTACAAAAGCCCATTGTGAAGCAGGACCAAACATAGAGTGTCATAGTTATGAGCAGGGCCAAAATACAGGGTTGCCGTAGTAAAGAACAGGACCTTGAGATTAGCACGGGATGCCTGTATCATCTGGCGGAACTGGGGACTGTTTATTCCCCAAAAATTTCGGATGATTGAATTTCGGCTTTTAATTTCCGGACAGAAAGTTTTGGACCAAAAAATCTTGACTTCAGACAATTTCGGACAAAAATTTCGGACAAAATGGGAAGACGCTAAGAAATTTCGGAAAAATATCTTGATTTTCATAACACAGCATATTAGTGTGATCACGAAAAAACACTAAGGCGTGGGGATATGAATACAGTCCTAATTTTTATCAAGATCGAGGAACGAGTCCTCTGGCTCAATTTTTGAAGTTATAGCGTCATTAATTCCGGTCACATCGAAGCTCATTTTGATCAGATCTGAATTGTTTCTCAAATGTATATACAAACCAATCAACTCAGATTGCACGTACGGACTTGGTAGATATAATTCCAATTTCCTTGCCTACAGCAGTCACAGTTCTTAGTTTTTTTTCCTGAACAGCCAAAACTATTGAGTTCTGAAATGCAATCAAGTTTCAGAAAGTTATTGGTGACGGAGGCTGACATGTGTATATTAAAAATGTGGGAACTAATCCCAAACGACGAGGTGGTCCCATATGCTTTGAATATAGATTCATATTCGATTGCCTGGATGTTCAATAGGGTAGATAGACTTGTTGAAGATTTTGGAGCAAGTTGTAAATGAGCAGCTACAGAACTACTAAAGGAAGGTGAATCTCATCAAGGCATACATACCTGGCTTTCTGAAATCTCACTCGACAGCAACAACTGTAAGTGATGTCTCTGGTTACATTCATGAAGAACTTGGTCACTGCTATTATGTAGGAGCTTTCTTTTCAGACCTGGCCATGGCCTTCGATTCTGTTGACCATTGTATTCTTCTGAATAAACTAGGCTGCTACAGAATTTGTCGGACTGAAAATAGATGGGTTGATTCATTTTTAAGCAAACGAAAGCAGTTCACTATGTTGAATAATGTAAAAGCAGACTTCTCGGATGAAGAACCTTATGGTCTACCTCAAAGGGTCTGTTTAAGGCCCTCTACTTGTTTTGATACATCGAAATTATACCCTACGCTGTAAAAGCCATCTTTACGCAGCCAGCAAGAGTGCTGAAAAACATATCCAATTCTTACCCTTATCATCATCTTCTAGCAGAGTGGTGAAGCTAGAGTCATAGTCTTTGTATGCAATTCTCGGAGCTCTTTCGTGTATTCTATTAATCTTACTATTCAAGTGCCTACTGTGGAGCATCCTGACCAGTGGACAGTATTCAAATTGGGTAATTACAAAAGCTCTCATTAAGATTTTAGGTTTATTAGCGTCCATGTATCCAGTTCTGCAAGCGAGGGCGGTGAGTTTGCTACCAGCCTTCTTACATAACTTACTGATATGTGTCTCAAAACTGAGTCTTTTGTCTATCACAACACCTAGTAGCTTTTCCTCTTCCGAGTTTTCTATGATAGAATCTCCTACATTAACTTTGACCTGCTGATTAGAACTTCTGCCAAGAATAAGTAAATGACATTTGTTTGTATTCAACTTCATAAAGTTATCAGCGAACCATTGGATTGTTATACTTGAGTCATTCTCTAGCCTTGCAATTACATTATTGAGATTTTTATCGCACGCATATAGAGTTGTATCATCCGCGTAATTGCAGATATCCGTATCCATTAAGTAGAGAAGTAAGTCATTCATGTAGATGTTAAAGAAGAGGTGAACAAGAACTGATCCTTGCGGAACACCAAGGAACAGTTGTTTGTAGGTACTGAATTATCCATTAATCTTAACTCTCTGATGCCTATTTTCCAAGTAGCTATTAACAAGACACAGTGCTTCATGGCTGAATCCGTAAGCATCTAGTTTGCTATAAGGAGGTCATGTTTAATACAATCGAAGGCTTTCGAGAGGTCCATTAGGATTGCGCCAACATTTTCTCCCCTGTCTAAGCTTGTTTTCCATTTTTCAAGCATTCGAACTAATGCGTGCTGCGCATTGTACCCTTTATGAAAACCGCATAAAAGTGAAGATAAATAAGATTGCATATAATCAATAATCTGTTTATCCATAAGTCTCTCAAAAACCTTTGAAACAGTTGGTAATACACTCACCGGTCTGTAATTTTTTTACTAGTTTTCTCCTCCGATTTGTGAAGGGAAGTGACATCTGCTAGTTTAAATAGATCCGGAAAGACGCCATTTTGAATGCAGTTATTGAAAATATGCTGCAACGATTCAGTAAAAGCCAAATCATTCAGTAATATTCCCATCAACAAAGATAACGCTGTGGCAACTTGGTCAATTTTACCTTGCTTATCTATCACAAATGCCTCACCTTTATCGCAAAGGTCCTTGAGTTCGGTTTCATTTTCTTATTTGCCGAACAAGATGCTTCGCAAATTCTTTTCAATTGCGACAGCAACAAAAACACTGATTTCCTGAATCGTAGATGAACGATTCAGACCTTGCTCACGGCTTCAAGTTAGAGAGAATTGTTGACGAACGATTCATACCCTGGTCACAGCAGAAATTGGAAGGATGTCAACAAAGGGGACATTGTGTTCAACGATCAAATATATACAAAACATCAGACTTTACACGAGGACTAAAATAAATGAATTTAAATGTCGTGACGAATGCCAAAGCGATTAATTATGATGCCTGTCGTAAATTATGATTCCATAAATGTACTATATTGCGTGCGGTACAATATAAAGCTATAATACGATCAATGTAAGTAAATTGTACCAGGAAAATTTTTTTTAAATAAATAACAAAAAAATTTTAAAAAAATTTTAATATTTAAGAAAAAATTTTTCTGGTACAATTTACTTACATTGATCGTATCAATTATGATGCCTGTCTATCACTCAATTCGAAGTACCAGATCCTACAATGAAAATAAAGGAAATGGGAATACAGTTTTATGTTAAACTTCACCTCAGCACCACGGGGCTAAAAGCCAGCGCAGGATCTTTTGAAAAATTATGATTCCATTTCTAGAGAAATTGGTCTGCGTTGGTGATTTCTATCTAGTCCTTCAAGATCACACTTTGGAATTAATTCAAATATGTATCTACATGCCGTTTCATCTGTATAAGTAAATATTATAGCGTTCAAAGCGCAATTCAAATATGCGAAACTAAACGAAAGAAAGTATACAAATCGTATTTCGATGGGTCCAGCTGACTTGAGAAAGTAAGAGTAATAGGCCGTCCATGTGTCAGTTGCTAGTGCCGGAAGGTAGGACAGCGTGTAAATGAAGAGTACCAGGACAATTATTTTGAAAGCTCTTGTGTGTGTTCTGTTGTTAAAGCCATGCTGTAGTGCCCTCTTTCTCTCTTTTTTGAGTGTAATGTTAAGTCGAAAGTAAACTGCAAACACTACGGCAAAGGTAAAAATGCGAGGGCACATCATAGTCATGTTTGGTATGTTTGACTTCGTGTGACCGAAGAAATAGGTTGCCACAAGGCCATGTAGTATTGCAAGAGGAAACAGGAGCATTGCTGTAATTCGGGTACCTTTATTGGACAGGAAAATGCGACCTAATTGTGGCTGCATTTTGATTGTGCCAGTTATCTTAAGATATCTTTGAAATGCAATAGCCATCAATAAGTAGTACGAGAAATGAACATTTGTTACACTGGTAAATGTAGTCGCCATCTCGAACCAGCAGCAGCGTGTGTATTTCAGCCTTGTTACTAGAATTATGGCTGCTGGTATTTGAACCATCCCAGTGAAAGTATCAGATAAACTCAAAACAAATATTAGAAACTTCATTTTCGATTTCCACTGTTCTGTTTTGTAAAGAGCTAGGCTCAATGCCCCGTTGAATAATGCAACAGGCAAGATTGTGAGACTGTATGCTATAGCGATAGCAAGATGCTGGTTATTTGATAAAAAAATTCTCCATGCGATTGATGTATAGCACGTCAGGTTTGCTGCAGTGAAGTGAGTTGAGCTTTTGTTAGTGGATGTATAATTGGTGTGACTTGTCATTGCTAAGTGACTTGAACTTGAAAGGTTTTACCATGAATCTTTGTGCTTCTTGGAAGTTTTCTTTGAATCTACGTTGTCTGTTACCTGTGTCCACCTTAACGATAAATATCTGCTTCTGCTGGTTTCGATGATTTCATTTGGAGTGATGTTTTTTCTTTTTGCATTGGGTTTCTTTGTGAGCTGAATCATGTCATAACAAAGTGTGCTGTTTCGAACAATGGCGATGAATTCTTTGATACTGTTCGTGCTGCGGCTGAGAGGCATGATGTAATGGAATGGTTTGAATTCAGAAACCGGAAAAATCCTTTCGATACATGTTGTTTAAAAATCATATGTTGTAATTTTTTTATGGGGCATACAATCTGACTATTCCAGAAGGACTGGACTATTTTCTACAGCCCTAGTTTATCTAACACCTCCACATTTTATCCCCAGCCTCTATCAAGAACAGAGGCTTATATCACTCCACGAAGATACCGAAATGTCGTACGATCTTTTCTGTAGGAAATTTTTTTTTCAAAAAAGTTTTGTTCGCTGTTTGGGACAGTTGTACGAGTTTAGGGTCGAGAATGAGTAACCTATGACTAGGTCTAAACAATGCTGGGGCTAACGGGTGTCTAACAAATTGGCCTACCTATACTTAAGAAAATTATGACAATTTCATGGCGCTTCGGCATTTAATCGAAACTATTATATATCAATATTGCATCGTAGAAACCAGAGTTTCCTTCTCATGGCACCTTTTCTGAAAAAAATTTTCTTCGTCTTTCGATTTAAGTACACTGTAGCTTACTGCCATAAAAAGCACAAATGTTCGTACCATACAATAGCTTGTGGGATGACACTTCCTCATTTTCATGCCGTCCTAAAATGTTAGGGAAATGGTTGTGCTGTAGGCAAATTCAAAAGCCTACACCCGTCACCACACCCTTACCACACCCAATCTATTACCTGTTAAGGTGGATTTCCTCTTCGCGGTATGGACAAAAAAAGGGAAACGGAATGCGGTATACGATACAATTAAACTGATTTGTGATTTTAACTACGCTGGGTGTTTTCAGATTTACCAGCACTCTTGTCTAACCACAATATGTGGAGATCGTATGCTATCGAACGTAGTTTGCATATTTGAATCATTATACAACAGGAGAGCCCTCGAGCTTAAAATTGGTATTAGCATTTCCAGTCAGTCTATCTTACGTTTTTTATAGTTTTGAGGCATGACTTCAACAAAGGCACATAAGGAGGCTGGATTAGTATCGAGGCTTCATTAGTACCGTAACTATGGTCTAAACGGCGTAACAACTAAGCAGTTAAAAATGAACCCGTGAAGTCGCCTAGGGTCCATACTTTTAAGCAAGAAATTTCTGATCTAGACAGGAAGCCCCTTAAATGCGTCTTGTTATTTCAAGTAATTACTCATACTGGAAACCTTTTTCCTATGACTAGTCTTCCTGGAAATGTTTTTCTGTGTGTACTCATCCTGTAAACTTTTTCCTGTTATTAATCGTCCCGTAAACCTGTTTTCTTCTAATCACAATGCAAGGTTTATCAGCTACGCTTTTTCCATTTCTTTGTTAATTAAATGCATTTTTGTCAGACCGCAATTTTTTCCAAAAAAATTTCTAATTAACCCTAACAAGCCGAGGCTAAGGTTCCGTAAAATCTAATTTTTGAACAAAATTATGAATCTCCTTTAAAAAAGTTATATCTCAAAACGAGGAGTTTTCGTCATCTAGGCGTGCTTTGTCGGCGAATTTACAATCCCGTCGGCAAATGAAATATGATTCACTCGTTTTGTTGGCAAATGGGGCCTGAACACACCCATTGAGGGCAATAGCTAGCGATTTTCCTGCTAACATCCTAACAATCTAAGAACAAATAATCAGGGACGTAAACAAGTGGCTAATTTTGGGGGTCGTGGAAGGTTGAAAATTCCAACTTTCCCTGTTAATCTTCTGTACCTACCAAATTGATTTGGAGATAGCCTTATGACTTATTCCAGATTTCTAGGTTCTGTATAATTTCAAACATTTTACTTAAAATAATTAGTCTTAATCATAAAATCATTAAAGAAGATAAAGGAAATCTCTAAATTTTGATCAACGTAACATGAACATTTAATCTTTTCGTAAGATATAAAGCAACATCAAAGCCATACCATTCTAGATCTTGGATATGTTTAATGATAAAAAGTAATATTCTTTCAAGTCAGTTAACAGCAATTCTATTCATTTTCTGCTTTGCCCATCTTAAAGCTAATTGCTGCAGATCAGTTTTATATAGAAGCATCAAGGAATTGACCATTTTATCTTTTGTTCTTGATCGAAGGAAAATTTTTACAATTTTCAAAGGACGAAATGTCCTTTGTTTTTTGGAACTGAAAAGGGTGATCTGAGGGCAAGTGCATATGCCCGATTCGTAAGATAGAGCACTCTTCTTTGATCAAATACTTCTGCTGCAGCTTCTTTGATCAATGTTTTGTGGCTTTTCATTAGCTTTATCATAGCAATTTATAATTAGATTCAAGGAGGTCTACAAAGTGCAGGGGGAGCTGAGCATACACCCGTTAAGAAGCGTTGCGAATTTCTAGCAATGAAAGATTTTTAATGTTTTCAATTGAATCGGCTACTAGTTGTTTCTTAAAAAATTCCCACTTTCAATTGTTCTGATCAATACAAGGAATGATTTCTCAAAACTTCAGGCTCAAACAATACTGATGGTAAAATTTAAACTTCTTTTCCAGACGTTCACCTTGCCTGTTCAGAATAATTTAATCAAACTTAACTCCTATCAAAAAGGAAACAAACGATGCAATGGTGCAATTTGAGATCCAGTGGAGACAGGGCTTCACAATTAAAAACGATTAGAAGATGTGTCTGCTCCAGAGTTTGAATTTCAATAAGGTCTAAGATTTTTACATTTAAAATCCCAAAATCCTAAGCTATAAAATTCACATATTTGGTCATAATAGTTAGAAAAATTTCCAAGTGAATTTTTCAAGTTTTCCAACTGCAATTGGATTTTCCAACCGTTGGGGGGGGGCCGTCACGCACCCACGCCCCCTATTGTTTACGTGCCTGCAAATAATGAGCATTCAAGCCTCAAGGATTTGAAAAATTTAAGAACAGCCAGCCTGAACTTCAATTTTTGCTGGTACTTATTGATAAGAGTGTAGCTAGGCATTTACTTTTCCTCGGAACCTGGATTTGTGTTGACCAATGAAGTTAACAGAATACGCCTTTTTGTGTCCAACATAGAAAAGAGATCTTAAAACTTATTTCGGCGATTCACTCTTAAAATCACTTCTTGATAGATAATGGTAATCCGTGATTATCTATTGCTATTTTAATTATTCTATCATTGAATCATAATGCTTGATGTCTCTTTTAGGGTTATAAATATGTTTATTTAATAATATCCAGACACGACTTCTAAAAGACCTTTTATTGGCTGTCTCTTTGTTGCAATGTTGACAGTAGAATTTTCTTCAGGGACAGAGGTGGCGAGACAGTTACTGGAGCGGATGTAAAGAATGTTATACGTTCATTTAGTGAGTTTAATTTAATTTACAGTTTGTCCATTTTTAACGTTATGACTCAACAAGGTCAGAAAGACATGTTTTTCGTTCAAAGATTGAGGATCTATGTAAAATACTCATCACTGCTTTTCTCCAGATTCTAAGATGGCTATAATCATATTTTTCATAGTTGATATAATCATATATAACTGCTATAATCAAAGTTATTTTGAAGGTTTTCACTTTTTTGCTTTGATATTGAAGCAATCAAATTACTGCATCATTTTTAGTTGAAATTAAGAATTATCTTGTATACTTTCTGTGTCTACATTTTTGCCTTTTACTTTAAACTCCCATCTCCGCGTCTTTTTCAGTTGATGTTGAGCAGTACGAGACCAGAGCCCCGTTAAAGGCAATTCTTCTACGTTATTTTCTCATAAATGTTCTTTGTTCAGCTGAAGTATATTCACAATGAGACGGATTTTTTTTCTCACCTCTTTTTATAGAATGAATAAGATTGCACAGTGAAAAAGGGTTAGGGCTAGGGTTAGGGTTTCTGACAGGGTTAGGGTTACGGTAGGGGTTAGTGTTACGGTAGGGATTAGGGCTAGATTTAAGGGTTAGAATAAGGGTTAGGCCCTAAACGTTAGGGTAAGGGTCATGGCTGAATTTGGGTTATGGTGAGGGTTATGGATACCGTTAGGGATTGCATTGTGGTGTATCTGAACCTGCAATGTCTTGCCATCATAAACGGACTCTCGAATGCATTAAATACTTTAAATAGCGTTTTACTCTTACTTGAAATCCGGCAATAGTCTTTAGCATTCATGACCATTTCTCCCCCTTATAGATGTTTTCTCCCCCTTTGCGCTGTTTGTATGTTGATCGGAGCTACAAATGAAGACAAGGATACTCCTCATGAAAAATTTTATAGGACTTTTGAACAACGGGAACGACAACAAACTCATTTCACTGTTTCGTTTTCACAAGTTGCAATGAGTAACTTGCCCACGCAAGTCAAAGCAAGCCGAAAAAGTTGATTTTTTCAAATCATGTATTGTTGAAAATCTGGGTCATATTTTCTGTTAGGAAGTAATTTTTTTGCAAAGTTCACTTTAATTTATTTCTTTAGTTATGTTTTTACAGCGTTTGCCTCTTCCATTGCAGTTATACCAAGATATCTTTGAAGTCCCATTGTTGAGCGAAACCAGTGATTATTACCAACAGGAAGCAGCTCGGCTTTTGCAATTTTGCGATTCTTCACAATTCATGGAAAAGGTTAGAACTGAGATTTTAACAATCTTCACAGATCCTTACTTGAAACCTATTTCATAGACTTAAAGGCTCAAAACATATTATACGAAGAAGAAAACAAGGGAGACCATGTCTCATCTCATTGGGAATGAAAGCCCAGTCAGAAGTTTCGTATCATCATAGCTCACCACTCTTAATTCTTAATTACCACTTTTAAAATTCCAACGGATACACCCTCCAAAAATTCGACCATGTAACTTGACTTGACACTTTTTTCAGAAGCAAACAAGGTTTGAAACTATGAAAAAACTTTACAAGCCCTAATTAAAAGTATGCGGTTACGCCACTGTTATAGGTCTTGTTGTGTCTTGCTTGCTAAAAGCATCGTTCATTCACCTACAGGTTTATTTGTTTAAGTCTAGGTCACCCCCCCCCCCCCTCCTGCATACTCCTGGGTAATTATAAAAACGACATCAAATATTTAATTATATTATATTAGGCGAATTGAAATAGTATGCCATTGAAAACAGGCCGTATTTTCAGATTGTAAAACAAAATCTGAATGGAGAGCTAATTTTGATTGCTTTTATCAATCAGGTGGATGCAAGACTAGAGGAAGAAAGGCTGAGAGCTCAGAAATATCTACACGTGTCGTCGTTCGAGAAAGTTATGAAAGTGTGTCAAGATAAACTTGTTGAGTCGCAGTTGCATTTGCTGCAGAGTGACTGCCGTGATATGATACACAGCAAAAAGTTATCAGGTAAATGCAGCTCACTGTTTGCCACTTGCTCATGGTAGAAAACGTCCGCCCCTCTCCATAGCTTAAAACTTCTATGGAACCCCTAAGAATACACCAAGATCTTAGTTCAGAAGCTTATTTTCTTTTATATAGGCAAATTAATAAATGCTAACCAGATGAGTTTTGGTTTGAAAGCTGCCTATTAGTTTTTTCACTGAAGTATTTTGAAGGCTAGGCAATATAATGCTTAAATTACAATGTTAAACAAGTTTCGCTGTTTTTAACCATTTGTCACATGAGTATTTTTACAAGCAGTACAATTTTTATATCACAATTGACCGTCTTGATTTCAAATGTTTGGTTACTGACCCTTCAAGCACTTTGTGTTTCAATCCATACTTATCTAAACAGATTAAGTTGTGATTTAGTATTCAGAATTTTTGATGAAAATTTGCCTGATCATAACTTGATACAGAGCAGGTCCTCAAGATCTATCCACCCCTTCCAACTTACAATGTGCAGGTCCTCATAATCTATCCACCCCTATCCACCAGATGTGCTTATGTGGAAAATGTGTTTTTTTCAGATCTACGCCGAATGTATAAGCTTCTGAAGCCAATACAGAAAGGTTTAGATTTAATGTTGAAAGAATTTGAAGAATACATTGCTGATACTGGTCTAGCGAAAGTGAAAGCGTTCTATACTGAAAACGTACGTGTACTTTTAACTGTGAATTCGCAATGAAATCTTTATTTGTTAAGCATTGTAACTAAAAGAAAGAAAAATTCTAAAATGAGGAATGGGTGATCTTAGCTGGGTACAATAAATATCTGAAACCTTGAGTGGCGTGAACAAGCTATCAAACCGGCACGAAGGCATACAGCCTCGAAGCAACCTCGAAGCAACCCCGAAGCAACCTCGGAGCGGCCTTGAAGCAACCTTGAAGCAGCTTCGATTCAGAGATATAAATTTGGAAATGCCTTTTGTCATCAATCATTGTTAGTATCGCTAACATGCCAATTGCTAGGCCAAAAATCTTTTGCTAGCCACATTTTGTTAGGCATCCCCTTTTCCTGGAAAGCTTTAAAATGAATGCTATAACATTCAGTGATTTCTTTCTTATGCTTTTTTAAGAGTTTGAATGAATTTCAAATAAAACAACTGTAATTCGTTCTTTGACTTCTCTCAACACTTACATATTCTATAACGATTCCAGGGAACTGGACAATTCGTTGATGCATTGATAGAAATTCACAAGGAATATTCTGATATGATCGAAAAGACATTCAGCAACGACCAGTCATTCCTTGGCGCCCGGGACAAAGTGAGACTTTTCTTTTACATTTGGATACATTGTTGGAGAATAAAATATCGGAATTAAAAAATTTCGGGGGAAAATCTAGTAACTTTCGGAAGCTTAGACAAAAATTTAGACACATTCCCCGGCAAATTTTCGAATTAGTTGCTTTTCCCCGACTCTAGTTTCAAGTATGTAATAGTGTTTGTATACAGTTTTTCAAATTCGGTATTAGGTTAACACCATAATATTATTTTATATGTATACAACAACCATGAAGTCCAAAGGGTGGAAAAGGTATAGAAATATTGGGGGAAAGTGCTATTCGAGGAAAGAAACGCCAGGGAACTATTTGGTCACTTATAAAAAATTAGTCATTTTCCCTGAACTTTCGCTGATAAGGTATTTTTGTGCAGCAGACAGAGTCTACCTTTTGTCTTTTTGATATTCATGGTAATGACAATTTCTCTTGCACTACATGCTGCTATGTTGTCAAGCAAAGTAATGTCCTTCGGGAACTACTCATTGTGAAACTGATCAAATATGGATAACTTTATCTTTATCTTAGCGAAGTGCTTCTTATATTTACTTATAGTCATTGATATGTTATCTTTCAATATAAATCTTCTTTTTAAAGACTGTCTTTAAACTCCCTGCTTGTACCTGGTAACGTTAGCCTAGGAAATTTTCAATAAGCAGCATTATATTTTTTTGTTAATGAATAGACCCTGTCCTCACAGCATGTCATTGCATTGCTGATTGAGAAATAGAGAAAATATTAACACTTTCTTGCATATTCAGGCTTGTACAAAGATTGTTAACTACAGGATAAGCTCGCAAAAACATTGCAGATCTCCAGAAATGGTGAGCTACATTTATTCGCAGTCTCTGTTATCATAATTATAATTCTTGTCCGACAACAGGTTTTTACGGAAATATGACAGTTTATTGTTTACATGTAGCAAATATAAACTCTTCATTGTGATGTCATCAATTCTGATTAAGTTTTCAGGCTATGACCATTGACTTTGGTTATGATGTACAACGCTTAAATATATGACTTTCTAATCTTTGCGGTAGAAATCGTGATATAAACAGAATTATTGCTATTATAACTGCATTGTACTCTCAAGTAGACCCGTATGATTCAAGACTCAGTCTAGATATAGCAAAATCAGTTAAGCAGTAAGGAAGTTCGTACAAGATTTTTCGATTTGTCTGTCTTATGTTGTTGAAAATGAGCTTTTTCCTTCATGCAAAGGGGAACTTAAGCCACTTTAGCCTGGTTCCCACCACATTCTTAAGAGATATTTAGTGTGTCTCTGGTCGAATTATGTTCTCAAGCACTGCTCGTTGGACCTAAAAATTTAAGTTTTATATTCGCTCCAACTTTAGCTCGCAAAGTATTGTGATTCTTTACTGAAGAAAAACACGAAGCTGCTTAGCGAGCGAGAAATCGATGGAAAGCTAAACAATGTGGTATGATATTTAACTTCCGTATAAGTTTTGCATAAAATTGATCTCATCAAAATATCCATGCCAACTGTCAGCAGGTTATTCATTGATATATTTCTATTTCTATTTATATTTATATATTTTGGGGAAGATATGGGAACATAGATTTGTTACGGCTTGCGTGCTACATATATAACTTAATGTCTTACATTCTTTCCCAGTAGCTTCTTGTTTATGCATTTCACAATTGTTGTTATTCCAAAACTTAGTTATATATTTAATAATTTTCAATTCTGAGTGCCCTGATATTTAAATTAATGTGATTTTATTTTGTCTTTTCTAGATTGTTATATTCAAATACATAAATGATAAAGATATATTCCAAAAGGTAGAAATCATCTTGATAGAAAAATTCTTTTTGTTACAATTTATGCAACTCCGAATAGAATCTTCTGCAGAACTTTTCCATCAAAATTATATGTTCTACTTTTCTTGTTAATTAGTGAACAGTTAAATTCTTAATCGAATTTTACGCTTATTCATCCATGGTTTGGCCTTTTAATTAAAAATCTTTTCGGCAATATTTCAATGTCAATATTTTCTTCGCATTTGGAATTGATTAACGTTACAATATCATGTTGTGCTGCATGAGAGGGTCGTGAGGCAATTGAAAACACCGTTACTAACTATTCGGTTTTTTTTTATCATTTCCAATGTTTTTGTTAGTTCGATAATCGGTTGGGTTTCCACTGTTGATTTTCCTCGTTTTTAGTTTTACTCGAAGCTACTGGCCAAACGACTAGTGCATAACATGTCAGTGTCAATGGATTCAGAAGAAAACATGATAAATCGCCTGAAAGTATGACTTTTGCTGATGCTGTTATCAATGACGTCTATTTGCTTTACATTGATGTCGCTTATTACAAAACAAAACTGACATCGTCGTTTTCCAAAATGATCAAAAATTTCTCACGAAATTCCAGAGTGCTCCTGGTGTTGTATCTTGAATTTTGTTTTAAATGCTCTTCCTCAATTCGATTCCCACTTTCTCTAGAACATATTTTGGGAGACAAAAGATTTATTTTCCTGAATGCTGTACCCCAAATGCCCTCATCGTTAATTGCCACTCGGATGGAACACATCCTTTACCTATCAACTTTCCTGTGAGAACTGATCCCTTCAAATGTCATCTTTTCAGCAAAAACCTGGCAAAGGGACTGTGTTTACAATATAAGAAACTGTCTTGAAAATCGAAAAACTTGATACTGTGTCTGATTTTGTTTCTGCTAATTTAAACTACAATGAGAAACTAAGATTATTGTTCGCCTTGTAAACTATTAAGTGCGAAATTTCTTATTTCCGTGTGTATTTGTTCAAGGGAACTGAATAAGGTTTTGTTACCCTTAAAGGTTGCTTGTGGCTATGAGTACACAACCAAGCTTCATCGAATGTTCACTGATATGAAAGTCAGCGAAGATTTGAACAACAAGTTCTTTCATTTCCTGGAAGAGAACGAATACGATGTTGGCATAAATTTTTCATTGCTCGTTCTACAGGTAAGATATGTTCATTTCCTTTCTGGTCGTTCAACATCATGCATTGACAGAAGTGTTGGAAAACAGAATTTGAATTTTGATAGCAATTTTTTATTAGGAATGCAAATGTTTGCAGTTTCGGTGTGACAAGCCGTGCCTAGTTTCGTTTAGTTTAACTGATTGTGTATGAAAACCATTGTCAATTCTGTACAAGTAAACATTTTAGTTTTTGGGTTTTTGCTGCTTGTATAAAGAGAATTGGTTTTTGGACATCAGGAATTGTTCCAATGTGGTGTGGTTTCCAATGCCATTCGCAGGAGTCAAAAATTTGTAAAACATAAGAATCATGTGACCACGTTTTGTGAAATAAAAGAATTGTTGGTTGTGAAAGAGCTGGACACAATTCCCCTTGTGCACCGTTTGTGAGAACTGATACCAAATGTCATAATACGATCGTCATTTTGAAACTGCTGTGTTGATGTCAATCCCTTGGAAGTAGGAAACCATCAGCTGTTTGCTGTACTGCCACTGTAATATTTCTTAGTTTTCTTGTTACTTGATGGTGATAATGATAAGATCATTCACCTGGTTAGCTTATGAGTACATTAAAATGCTGTTTTGATACACACCCTGACATTGAAAGTCAAAAGTAAGAAAATAGAAAGATAGTATGGCAATAAAATCTTACGATGGAAAACTGTTATTAGGTAAAATGATATCCTTAAAGTTTACCTACAATGCCTGCCAAAAGTCTTGGAACACTGACATCAATTTCCAAGGTCAAAACCAATCATCCCCCTCTCCCCCACGGAACAATGTTGGTTTACTATCAAACGGACTAGGATTTTAGGAAGCACTTTCTTTTGCGCTTCTTTTATGATATTTCTCTAAATCATCAACATTGTTTGAGGGGGAAGGGGGCGGAAGTAGCAATTTTTTTTCATGAAAGGAATGAAAGATATCAAATGCAGCGTAAATTGGTGGGTGTTCCTTTTGGCAGGCATTGTAAAGAACGTATCCAATCAATCTCTCTCGAAGTAGATAATTTATTTATTTTCCTGTTTGTAAAAAGAATGCAATGGAAATGTATTTGCATTAATTTCCTGTTTTCTTTAAGGTTCTTTTAATAATCATTCAGTAATCTCTTGCTTAAAACCTTTTCAATTCCTTCTTGATAGACACCGCTTAGACTGACATGCATTCTTTTCTAGTCTGGTGCTTGGCCCCTCAGTCAAACTGGTGTATCTAGTTTCGCATTGCCAAGTGAACTTGTAAAAAGCCTCCAAATGGTAATTTGCTGATTCCTCTTTAGATTATCATTGCCCTGACGTCACTCTTGTGCCCTCGCCGAGCGATTCACATATCTTGCTTGACAATCAACGTTTTCAACTGGCCATTACTAACAGCAATGTATTTTAAAGTGTTACAATTATCGTACACTTGTAACTTTAAGGCAATCGACAGATGCTAAAGTGGTTTAAGCCATCTGTCAACTAGATTTGGCCAATCAATAAGCGTAATATTACTGACACGTGATATTACGATAGTTGATTGGCAGGTGGCCTAAGCAACTTTGGTATCTGTCTATTGCCTTTACGTCAGGTTTACCAGTTCGCTGTAGACACTGTCGAGGAACGTCCCTTATTAAGGTGCTTTAGCGAATTACACCCTCATTAAATTGGCAGCTGTCTTAGAAATAATGCATTTCGATATCATCGATTTTGATCTTCCTTTGCCATGTATGAAGTTTTTACTGACAAACTTTCAATTTAACTCCTACGATTTAGTTTGATACTAACCTTTCGATTTTCCCTTATGTGTATAAAGAAACAGAAACAATCATGGGATTATTTCCTCTTTTCCAGTTTGAAACATACTATAACTCCGTCTTTAATGGAAGGAAATTGACTTGGCTAACACATTTGTCAAATGGTAAGCGAGACATTCAACTATTTTCTGTTTCATTCATTTACATGCTTAAATGATATAATTATAGCAATTGAACTAGTTAATATCATTTCCAGACATAACCAAATCGCTGCGGCCACCTACTGTACATATCTAGAATATTGATTGTTTTTGGCAGTAAGTTGATCGAATGATTGAACCCATGAAAGTTAGTTGCTAACTGCGTTGGCAGCTTTTGTTGCTTTGGAAATTTTCTTACTGAATCATCTATCCATTAGTCTTATTCAAGTAACATAAAAATATTTGCGTATATAAAAGAATATAGAAGATAATTCGATCGTTATAATCAATAAATCACTCTTATTAATCACACAATCAAACAAATCAATAAATTGGTCAACCAAGCAACTGCCTTCTAGAACTATAAGCCATAAGTTAGAATGTGCTGTGTCTTACACTGCTTTAACGATTTTTGTTAACGACAGGCGAGATAAAGATGAATGTACAGAAAAAGACCTACATTATCACAGTTACAACGTATCAAATGGCAATCTTGTTGCTGTTCAATGCTGGTGACAACTTATCATTTGCGTAAGTTTGTTATCAATTTAACTTATTCAACACATGATCACAACGTTGTACCTCAGACTAATCTAAGGGAGCCCTATTATGAGTGATTATCTTTTTTGCAAACGTATGTGTCGCAACAAAGCCAGTCAATCCCAGCATTTTCATTTATCTGAAATATATACCAATCCTACATTAACTAACGCATTTAATATGGAATTAATTGATTAGACTGGCAAAATTAATAGGCTGGTGTTGAATACACTCTTATTGATTCCGAGAAAGATGTAGTACAATAAACGGGGCTTTATGCTGGTATCAATGATCCTGTTGCGATTCTACTTTGCTTACTATGAAATACACGAATCAGCCAATAGACAATGCAAAGATGCGCATCGTGTATAATGTATCGCTATATAAAGGATGTATTGGCTGAGCCAGTGGCTAAGCCCCACCATGTAAATGCCAAAAGGTAGCTAGCTTTTTATTTTTTGCTGTCGTTTTTAAGACATTTGTCGCGAGAGTCGAATCTCCTTTATGATATTCCATTTAAAAACATTACTTGAGATAAAAATTATGGCAAGAAGTTATCGTCTTTGAAGTACCTAACTAAGACAAACCAATATCTTGTTTTCTTACAAGGAAAATTAGCGTACTCTTAAATGACTTGCACTTAGTAATGGTGACGAGAAGAACTGACCTTATAAGCGCTTTTGTATAGTTGTTCTTCTTTGTATTAGACTAAGCAAATCTGTTGCTGCATCCTTTGTTATTTTCTAAGTAGGTAGTAGTGAATCTTTTCTGGGGCCCAAGTATTACAGTTCGTGCCACCACCATGTTATTCGCTTTCTTTCAGTTCCTCGACAATTTAGTTGCAATTTAGCAATTTTGTCAGAGAATGGTTTCAAAATTTTCAGTTCATTCAAAATTATCAGTATTTTTGTACTTTGTTCGATGTAGACCAGGCCAATAAAAAGTTGCAAGCAGTGAAAATTTCAGTCTTAGACCCCGTTCACAATACAAAAAAAAGAACCGAACTCTTTTGGTTCCGTGCCTGAAAAAGCAACGATAGGCCTTGCGTTTACACTGGGTATCTTGGTTCCGTGCTAGTTTGGGAAAAGTTCCGGTCTTCTTTGGTTTCGCTAAAATGCGAAACACTTTGAACGAAACTTTTAGGTTACTATTGAAAATGGGGCTTAATCTAGGGTTGGGGCGAGGCTTTCTGAGAATGTCAGACGTCATTGCCGCGCCACTGCGCATGCTTTACATGATAATTGCGTTCTTAATACGATGAAAATGTGGTATCGTGCCCAGACAAAAACGCAACCAAGAGTTCCGTTCTTCTTTCTGCAGTGTAAACGGGCTCTTATTCTTTTTTATAGAGACCTGAGGAATCAGAGTCAGTTAGCAGAGAAGGAGCTCACAAGAACTTTGCAGTCTCTTGTGGATGTTAAAATTTTATGCAAAAATCCGAAAAAGGTATTTTTGATGCGAAAAATGTTTTCTACAGACAGAAAAAAAACATCTTCTCTGTGAATTTGATTTTTAAGCTTTGGAAGAAATTTATAATTATTATGTGCAAACTTATGATGAAAAAAAGAACAGCCAAATTTAATTTGATATGAGAGTCTAAAGATTCACTTTATGTGAAAATCTTTTGATATATTTACAGATGACGAGAAATTCTCCAGTTCTAATATAGTTTATAGAAACTGCACCAGTAGATGGTTGTTTTTTTTAAAGAACCAGTTACTTTAAGTCCAAGATTTCACTCTTGTGTTTTCTTCCTGAGATTGAATAAATTTGTAGAACTAGCTTTCAGAGGATTGCTAATGTGCTTATACTGATTAATGTTTTGTTACCGTGATCTTGGCATATTTATATTCTGAAATCGTCTATCCAAGTGCAAAAACAAATTTTTTTGACATTGTTTATAGGCAGCCGAGTTTTCTGACTGCACGTTAACTTTTAATGAAGAATTTTCAAACAAGAGGACAAAATTCAAAATCACCACGGCAGTGCAAAAAGAATCTAAGCAGGTAAGTCTACAAAATCAAGATCATATTGAATTTAGTACCTATGAATATGTACTTTGAAGGACAATTAACTCTATGGTAAGAGTTTTCACTTCCAGTTAATTTGTACTCTTATTTGGTTGATAAAGCTGAACTGAAACAACTTTATTTTTGATTATGCTAGCTTTAGGGGCTACTTAGATTGTCTGCATTTGAGGGAATATATTTTAAAACAATTTGATAGAAGAAAGCCTATGAGTTTGCCAATTTCGCAAGCCTATATACTGTAGTTGCTCAATTTTGCAAGCGTAGCCAGGTAATCGAGTCAAAGTTAGTCATTGTGTATGGCAGTATAGAGGTTAAGAGAGGTTTTCAAAATTTTTGATTTTTTGTAACTAACAAATCAATAGCCCAGTCCATATTCTTGCGATTCGAATTTTCACAGGAAGAGGAGCAAACACATTCAGCTGTTGATGAAGACCGAAAAATGTACATACAGGTTAGAATTGCTTGGAAGCTCTTCGTTTTATTGCTGGCACAACATTCAGCAAAATTTTCACGTCGAGTTTGTTGAACAAGCAGCAAACATTCATTATAAAAAGTATTTCAATATACCATAGTTAATGATTTTTGCTTTTATGAGAGACCATACACATGTCGAAATCATTTGCAATTTTCCCTTTATACTTCGTGAAAACTCTTCGACGGGTCTTCATGGTGCCCTAGATGCCTTATTGAGCAAGAATCTACTTCATGTGTCCTCAGAAATTCTTTAAACATATTTTTTGTTCTTTTATAACAGGCAACGATTGTTCGGATAATGAAACATCACAAGCTATTGAAACACAATGACCTTATGCAAGAGGTATTTTCATTCACTTTGGACCTTACCATATAATTCTCTACCAACGAACCCTTCTAGCACTTTACATAGCAAAGAATTTCTTTTGTTGATAACTCTACCCATCTGCCGCAAGTATTCTTCTTATAATGGCTTGAAGCCTCCAAAACCAATTATTTTCCAAAAGCAAGAGCAGTTTTATATCAACTATAATTTAATTCTGTATCTTTGTCGCTGCAATAGCTGCAAATATCATATGCTCTTTTTTGACTGCAAGTGCACAGTTAAGTGCCTCTTGGCAACTTCCTCTAAACCTGTTGCCTTAGCACAACATGATGCATCATCCCCTAGCAGCATACTGTGACACCAGCATAAGTTTTTAACTTTTTAATCTTTATCTTATTTCTTATTTGTTCTTTATTTGTTGCATATAGTTCGATATGCATGTTATTATTTCTTCCACTTAAACGAATGAATTGTTCTCAGGTTGTTCGACAAGTCAAGCCAAGATTCTCCTCGAGTGTTGTTATGATAAAGGTGTGTATTTGCAGAACAAAACGGTTTGTTTTTTATATTGTGTTGGTAACAAACTTGTTTTCTGAATGGCCCAGATTTCTGAAGGGGAGTCTTGGGCGAGAATTGAACATCTCAACTTTTCATGAGAACCTTATTGCACGTGATGAAATTTTATGTAGAAAAGTAGCATTTTATAAATTACCCGTTTTTATTCTTTTTATCGCCTAGGAATTTAGTCCTCCTGTTTTTATTTTTCATCTATCGACACTAAACGAATGATCTAGCAAACTCTTCATCATCATTTGGTCGATAAATTCTAGAAAAGGGACCACAGAAGTAGAGCAATTAGTTATGACCCATCAAATTCGTTGGTTGAATTTAAACTAGCCAATAGCGGATTTCAGCAGCGCATTTTTTCTTTAGACGTTTTTTGGTAGAGTTTGATATAGAGTCTGTTGCAATAACAAGTATAATGAAAAGCCGCCTTTGTTTATAAAGAAGGAGTTCGTTTTCACCTTAGGACTCCATTGGACTTATGTTTCGCGTTTCCGATTGGCCTATCTTGACCCACAACTGAGTATATACATTTCATAGCCTAGACTAGACTTATGTTCTGATGTTTTATACTCTGAAAAGTGTCGGACGAAAAGCGAAAAACGAAAATGTTTAAAAATGTTTGCTTTTTTCTGAGCCATGTTGAAATTTGTGAACCCCCAAAAATTGTTTGTAAATCAACATTGTATTTAATTACGTTATTCGGGATTCTCAAGATTTTGAGGGTGTGCGAATTTGCTGGCTTTATCAGACTTGAAAATAATTACTTTTTAATCTTCTTTTAGAAATGCATCGAAACCTTAATTGACAAGCAATACATTGAAAGGTCACAAGGAACCAAAGATGAGTACACGTATTTGCCTTAAAGAGCGTGCAATTTTAATAGAACTTCCTTGTCTGCCTTGTAAAAACATTTATGTAGTGTCAAATGCAACGATAATTTGTACTCATTTTCATTAATTGACTCAGCTTCTTCCTTTTTTATGTTTCTTCTATAATGCAGCCTTTCCTGAATAATTCTAAATCCACTTCGGGCAACAAATTTGGAAAAAAATACTTCTGGTGAACCATTATGGCCTAAATTGTGTTCACCGCTAAACAAAGGACGTAGATATAATTTCTACATCTGTCTCTTTAATATAAAATTTCAGAATGGAACTTAATGTTGATGCTATTTCTAAGTCTTTTTTCGTCTTAAATATTTCAGTTTGTAACTTAAGAGTAAAGTCGAAAGCGAAATACCAAATTTTCTTCCTTGGTGTGGATAAAAGAACAACTGACTACCGAGTTAAGATTTGATGACGTCATAAACGTATATTTTTAGAGTTTTTCGATTTTGATCATTTAATCTCAAAGAATATCATGAAATAGTTCAATTTTTGATATTTTTGATATTTTCGACATACCATGAAAACAGTCTTTTCCTATCAAAATTCGCTGAGATATTGCCCTAAGAACTCTTTCAATTTCTCTGAGTTAATTGGTCTTGATTTGAGTCTCAGTAGTGCTATTTGCGTAATCCTTTAAAAGATAAGGTCTTTCATTGTCTTTAGGCTATATCTCAGCCAATTTGGAACAGATTTAACCGATTTAGCATCTTTAGTTGCATTCTGTAGTGTTGTTTTAGTACACAGCATGTTCCAATTTCGAAGGAAACAAAAAGCACAATTTTATGATGTCATCACTTTTTGACTTAATTCTCTGCCCCCAGAAGCTGTCCCAAGGCAGGGAGGGGGCAAGGGGTCATGGATCTTTTATTTTTCAGTACAATATTCTGTAAATAGTTGATAACCCAATTTTTCTGCCCTATGGCCTCCCTGCTTTGAATCTCAAGGCGCCGCGTCTGACTCTCCGTTCCCGATCAATAGTTAGGCAGTGCATACGATAAAGCCTCCAAGCATTCATGGACATTTTAGAATCTCTTTTTATAAAAGCCAAAAAACCAGTGACACAGATGAAGGTCTCCTTTGCGGTTACTCATATAACCAGCGGTGCATTTCAGTCACTTACATTGTTTGCAATAAATGGCTGTCTCAAACAATACTCAGTTGTATTTTTGTTGTATTTTTCAGGTACACCTTGGTCTCAGCATACATATTTGAAACTTTGCCATGATTCTTACGTTTCATAATTTGAGGGTTATCAAACTAAGAATTTTTCGGTAATAATGCCTCTGTACTGCGCATTCCTAAATTTTTTTTAGTATTTCTAAAAAATGACAATGAATAACCAAAATATTGTTTTACAAAGCTTTGTCGATTCCTAGGGACTTGTTTCTGTTTTTTATTTGCTCCTGCAGGTAGGAAACAATTTTATTATAAACTTTCTTCCGTGGACCGGGCTATGCAGGATTTGGAAAGAGAAAATACTGTTTTATATTAACAAAACTTTAATTTTTATCCAAAACGAATTCCCTTTTTTCATAAACGCGTGTTCCAATCTCAAATTCTATTGCTGACATGCCACGTTCTAATTCGCTGCGTATGCCGCTGTGCAGTACTATTTTGGCGTAAACGTTTTCTCGAATGTCGTCTCGAAAAAATTTAATGGCCTTTAAGTAACACTTTTCTGATACTGATAAGGAACCTCGGAAAGCAAAGAATCTCAGTTCTTCCCCGCATGATATCAGTATTTTTATTCACTTTCCTTTTCGTGTATTTGATTGCAATATCAATGCGAAATATTCAGAGTGAACCTTGGGCCTTTAGTAATCCATTTAACCAACATCCGTATGCTTATTTTCTTGCAAACACAATGAGGGTATTGCGTCATCCTTTAGGAAACATCCTTCCAGGAACTCAGTAACGAAATTGAAAGCATTATCTCTGTTTACACAGCCACGTTTTCCATGGGCCTTGTTCATCCTACTAGTTAACTTTCAACTCCGCGCGTGAAAAGACTGATGGCGATTTTTAAAGTCTTGATCTTGTTCAATTTTCTTTTTGGAGCACATTCCCTGTATTGGAACTGGACCGAAACAGGTTGGTAAAACTTAGTCTCTGCCTATGTATGGTCATATTCAATTTGTAACCATTACAAATAATCATGATCAATAACGATTGTTAGTAGATTGTCACTGCAAAATTTCCATAAAGGGATGAGTTGATAAACTGCTCGTATCAGGCAGATCTGTTGGGTGGCAATATTAATAGAATCGCTGCCTGAGAGGTTCATGTAGCTAGTTTTATTGCTTGTAACAGCTGTTGGTTGTTCAATGCATTTAGGTCGATGCATTGAAGGGCGAACCGTAGACTAGCCTAGAAAATGAAACTATCTTTGTTCGTAATGAAAGTAGCAGAGGCATTTATAGTTGTGTTTGGCCTTCGAAATGGCCAGGTATGTTTATGAGTGTAAAGGCCCGGGCCCCGTCTTATTTAAGTTACACTAGTTCTTCACAAAGCTCAAACTCAAACAAAGCCCAAGAACGGCATTAATAGAGTTAACGACACGAATCCTCCTGTCGACGTACATGCAAAGGGTTAAAATCTTTTGATGTTTATTAATATTTATTACATATCTATTTTTGATGTTAAATCATTAGTATTGCATATTTATTGCAAATTATTTCCTTGTTGTCCTCCTCTGATGTGGAGAGCGATCACCATTTAGCCAAAATCGCTCTACAAGAATTGCATGCGAGAGTTGCAGGGACCACGTGGTGCAGCCCCAACAAAATACTTCATAAATTTGGCCTGAAACAAATCGCACCCCACGGAGTTCCAAAAAAGGAGAGTGCTCATATTTTATGAGATATTTTGCACGTGAAGTAGGGTTTTCCAAAAAGCATTTTAGGCAAAGGAGAGTGCGTTGAATGGAAGTATTTGCTTTAAAAAATCATCTATTTGCCAAAGTAGTGTTAAAAGTATGTAAATTGCGGATAAAATGTTTTTGCTTTTCTTTACTTCGTACCGATATCCGCATAAATAAATGAATTTGTTGGATGCTTAAACGAGGTGAAAAGTGTAAGCTAAGCTAAGACATATAAAAAGTAACTGGTTTGGTGAAAAAGAGTACATAGAAGATAAAATGTATCAGGTAAATTAAATATTTGATATTTTAAGCGAATTTTTTCATGAAGTTCCGGGGACACGAAGCATTTTACTGTGTGCTTGCAAAACAACAGTGTTGCGTAGCCTTTCGAAAGCAAGTTAGCTGGGGACAAGCCTTTGTTTATATAAAGAGAAGGACAATAGCCTATTGTTTAAAACAATAAAAATCCTTGGGTTGGAGGGGTCATTACCACTCCCCTTCGTAGTCTGTGAAAAATGGCCCTGAAATGTTGTCTTGTCGCATTACCTAAAAGCTGTGCAAGTAAACCAGAACAAATCAAGTTTTTGCTGCAAGCGCTCGAAAAGATGTTTCTGTGTCTACTTGTTTAAAAACCTCCATCAAAACATTAGAGACATAATTTATCCATCTTTTTTACTTGTTTCGTCTTTTTTAGGAGAAACATTTGATCGTGGCGTGCCTACACTCTATGGCTTGCGCATTCCACAGTCATTGTTGAAGCAAATGCCTATTTGCAACCAAAGCTGTAGTGCTTTGCAGAGGTCCAGCCTTGTTAGCTTTTACGAAAGCACTTGCGGCCCTAAATGGGTTAAACGAAGGAACTGGAATACGGATGTTTTCTATTGCGACTGGGAGGGTATTTTATGTTACAACAGGACATTTCACATCATAGCCATCGATCTCCAAGGCAACAATGGAATGCAGGGCTTTGTCGGAACTACTCTAGGACGCCTTCCCTACCTCCTTGGTGTAGACATGGGTGGAAGCAGACTACAAGGTGACGTAAGAGACTTACTTGGGACACTGAAGAGCTTCTTTATCAGATTTGATTTTGCAAATAACGATATATCTGGTGAGTTCCCACAAAACATAGCTACAGCTTGGCCACATCTTGGCAAGATTCAGATCTCAGGAAATAAAGCAATATATGGAACAATACCAGAAAACATTTATTTGTTGAAAGACTTACAGGTTCTTAGCTTAGGGGAAACTGGCATTTCTGGGTGGGTTCCAAAAAGAATAGCCAATCTTTCAAATTTGTACTTTCGTGACCTGGAGGCTTTGTCGTTAAAAGGAGATCTTGGATGTTTGAAAGGGCTTTCGAAACTACGATTCATACATTTGATGTCGAATCAACTAAAAGGTGAGTTCCCTAAAGACTTTGGAAACTGGTTTCCAGACCTCTTTGAGCTTCTCCTTCAAGGCAATGATTTAAGTGGAGATCTGCCTTCGTCTCTGGGTAATTTTAGCAGGAGTGGCGCTAGAGACAAACCTTCAAGGTGCCGAAGTTTATATTCTCCGTAACTGCCGACGCTGGATGTGTCAAATTGCCGACAGAAAAAAAAATTCGATTTGCCCCATATAGCAGGCAGGGCCGTCGCGAGGCAAGCCTCGTTGGGGGGGGGGGTGGAATGCAAATTTACCTGATTAAAAAATTATTGCCTGAAACTTTTTAGCTGGTGTCACAAACCTCTGCAATACATTTTATCAATCTAACTTTGTATGATAATAACTGACTTTTCTAATAGTCTTGTCAAATCTCTATATCGGGACGGGCAAAATACATAGTTACTACCTGAGGCGGCACCATGGTTGCCGCCGAAGGGGCAGGAAATTTTCGAATTGTGATGCTTCTAGTTCCCTGGAAAATTCACTCTTTTAAGCAGATTTCACTAAAGCAATCCTCCTAATCCTATTGAAAATTATTGTCTTTTTGCAAAAAATTCTTACAGCAGATAAAAACAACAATTTCGCAGTGGTCTTGAAAAATACCAGGTTGTCAGTTCCTATTAAATTTAGATCCCTCTCTCCATCTTAGCATGCCTTATGAATGTTAAGACAAATCTGGAGCTCATAGTGAATTGCAGTTGACGCTTCTACTGAGAAACTTTAGGAGAAATGGACACGAGGCACAATTTTACCTAAGATTGCTTGATCCTTTATTGATTTTATGACAGGAAGGTCTCTGAAATACCTAAAGCGTTTCTTCCACCGAGCGGATTTTACCTGAAATTTCCTATTGAGATACTATTGGGGTGCGTGTGACAACCCCCCAGTCTCGACGCCCCCTGAGCAGCACCTCCAATAAAGGGACACCGATATAGAGCATTTTTCCAAGAGCAAGCAAGCATATAGAGCAAGCAATAGAGCATTTTTCCAAAATCGTTTGTTGTGGGTGCAAAATTCTCCCTCGCCCCCTCCCCGCCCCCACTTTCCAACCTGTGTCGGAGTCCACGAGATTTTCTCGGCAAATTGTGCCTTGTAAGAAACTTAATGCGCAAATATTGCCTATTGTTGAATATTTCTTCCTATCTATGTTGGAAGAAGTTAATCGATGGTTTTCTCTAAACCATTTGTTTGTCGGAAGCTATGCGGTGAACAATGCTATTGAAAAATAGTTGATGAAAAAGGACAAGAAGTGCTTTTTGAAAAATTTATTACTCAAAATGTGCTCATGATCGAAATGTCTTCATTGGCAATAATAATGTCTTGAAACGAAAAGAGAATCCCTTAAGAAGAAAATTCATTAAAGAGTTTATTTATGACAACGTGATTTTGCTGTTGTTAGGGTTAGGGTTTGGGTTAGGGTTAGGGTTAGGGAAGTATTTTTTCTGGTACGTTTCGCATGAATTGGCATTCGCATGAGCAGCAACAGGGATTTCAACCGAGAGGAGCACGATGGTATTGTGGGTCATGCGAAGGAGCACCAAGTCACAGCTTTCACGGAAGCGACAGGATATAATGCCACTATGAAAGTAAAATTGCCGAAGAAAAGCCATTGAGAAAACCATAAACCAGCCAGTGCAGTTGTCTCCTCGATTATTTTGGTCATTCAAACAACTTGTAATCCGGGTCACATCCATCAAGTGCCGACGGTATTGAGAGAGCAAAAATTGATTGGCTGCCGACGGGGGGGCTAACAAAAATCTAGGGGGGGCTAAAGCCCCCCCTTGCCCCCCCATGCCGCCACTCCTGGACAGGACAAGAAAGCATCTAAACCATGGCGTCGCCGATTAAGATCTTTGACCTTCACTGTCGGTCTGGAAGTCTTGAACTCTGACGTATATACACCATCAGCCTCGTTTCGATATTTCCTTCTTAGTCTTTGAATAGCTTCCATTTTGTCGCGATGGTTTTTTTCAGTTTTACACTTAGTTTTCAACAGTTCGAGTCTTGTTAGTAATCTCAGGAGCAGTCTATTTCTAACTTCACTTCGTTGGTCCTTCGTGTAAAAGGTAAAAAGGCTTATGGTTTCACGGAAAACGGCAAATGTGGTAGGCTGAAAGACATAGATATAAGCCAAATATTATGGAAAATGATCTTTGACCGCCATACAAGAAAGAAGCGGTTTCTAGATCACAGCAAATGTCACAAAGACCGTTTGCGCACACGACGCATACCAACTCGATTCGTGAATATTTAAGAAGTAACTGGAAATTATTGAAAACCTTCTACAATGGCATCTGCTTTTGCTTTGCGGTTATTCTGGTTCACCGAAAGAATTAATTGATTTTCTTGCAAATAGGTGCCAGCCAAAATATTGAAAACAACTCCTTAAGAAGATGAATAGAGATTACAATATTTAAGATTGTATCAAGAAGTTCCATTTGATGTGCAACAGTGGTAAATTAGTTGCCTTGCATAATCCGTTAATGCTAAGTTATAGGTAACTCGTGCATGAAGATCTTGACATTATATTAGAATCAAACAAATTTCATTACACTTAATATTTATGTTCACTTGTCAAAATGACACTTTCTGTCTTTCCTTCTGACAAAGTTGACATTGAAAACTTTAAGAGAACTGCCAGCCACATAGGTCAAGACGCATGACAAAACAATTTGCAAAAAACTTGTTTTGGAAAGAAATAGTGTACATGTCTCCCTGGCCCCCCGTCGTCTGAGTTTGCCACAAAGGCTAACTGCTAAGTAATTCAACTTATCCTTGTTTTCAAACAACGGTGAAAAGATTTTATCCTGAACCTCTTTCTGGTGTCTCTGTACAAACTTTCTGGTGTCTCTGTATTAGTGGACACCTTTCCATGGGCAGTTAAATAATACAGTCTCCAGTCCACGATGTGGAGGTTTCACCGTTCGTTGGGTAACTTTGAGTAGCACACGGGATACTTCACCAAAGTAATATTTTAGAACTTGAGGAGCAAATAAGCATTCATTATTCGCAGAAAACCATCCATAGGAAACTATCTGGTGTAAATTCGATCACACGAAAAGCAGAGAGGTGCGGAAAGTGTAGGAGCGACTGAGTTGATGAAAAGGGGTTCTCGGCTAACCAATACCCAATCTCGTTCTGAGTGATTGATTTCAACCAATCAGGAAAGCGTTTCTCAAAACTTGAAGGTAAATAAGAGATTCTCGGACGCCTCTCTGCTTCTCTCTTCTATTTCCACACACGAACCTTTGTGGCTCTGGTATTTAGGGTAATAAAAAAACCGAGTATAAAGGCACTGGTAAGCTTTGATGTGTACAATCTGGCAGGGTGTAGAGCTAGGGGGGGCTCAGGTAATGCCGAAAATTGGCAAATCTCTTCTTTTGCTTTTGTTTTTCGCAACATTTTGGCAAGAGCACCCCTTGTTTATTTGATGGCACTACACCACTGCAATCTGGTAAGATTGTGTAAAATCTTTGACTTGTGTATATTCTAAAAATTAGGGAATCGTAACAAGGGGTTAGAAACTCTCCAGAAAAAACCTTGGGTATTCAAAACCAACTCAATGGAACAGATATCATAAGGCCTATGAATTATGATTTCTTTCCATTAATTTTTAAATTCCACGTTCTTATATGTGTTTTGATCAGATGTTTTTTAAATCACAAATTCTTTATTTGCCTTAGCAAAAATGATTCGCCTTGAAAAAGTTTCTTATAGTAAAAAACAAGTCCTGGCTTTGCAAAGTTTTTAAGGGTGACTGGGAAGAGTGGAAATAACATCTTATCAGTGTATACTGTTGTTCTTTTGTTTTCCTTACGGTTTTATCAAAGCTGAACAGATTTACGTACACTTACAGAGATTAAGCAAGCAAGTTTCTCGAAACGATAGTGCTTTTGTTACCTTCATAGACGTAGGTAGACATGACTTTCTAGTAATGTGCGCCCCCAAACTTTTGAAATGCTTCCTACGTCTATGGCTATCTTGTTCACAGCCTGTCCTCACTTAATGCAATACTTTGCATTAAGAATTCTTCAGTTACATACCAGGAACCAAATGAACGAGGAAAAATGCTTTCCCTGTCTTCTCGCCAGTTCTTCTTAACAAAATATGAAGCTACCATT